AGAAATTATATCTAATAATAAAAATTAAGGTATAAACTATCTAAATATAGTTGAAAACAATTTCTTTGGTTTTGAAATAAAATTGAACTTTTATGGATACACTTGAAAAATTGTGATGGATTTTGTCTAGCCATTGTTTGGCAAAAGAGGTCATGGCATTTGACTTCTTGGCATTGCTATGCCTGTTTAAGGATGTTTTTGTTTGTTAAACACATTTCAGTTTTATGTAGCCTGACGAGGCATTCCCTTGAAGCATTTTATTATTGTCATAATTAAGAAACTAGAGATTTTGTAAATCATTCCTAAAATTATTTTTGAAACCCAAGATTGAGTGCAGGAAGGTCTCTGCATCAGTGAGGGGCTCCTTACTGACTTTTCTCCCAAAACAGGGGATTAGGCTCTGTGTGCTCTATTTTTTGTGAGCCGTGTTTCTGTGAAAGGTTTTAGTGGGGTATGATGAACAGACTTGCACTTGATTTCTGCAAACATTTTAATTTTAATTTCTTTCCTTCTGGCCTTATTTCCTGTGATTTTGTTCAGGTTTAACATCTAATAGAGAGGTTAATTTGTAATATACTGGTTACCATACTACATCCTCAAGGCCAAAGTTAATAGGATTGAAAAAGAAATGGTACATTCAAATCCTAACACTGTATTACTGAAGTTAACAAGGTTTCATTTTCTGCAATATAGATTTTCAATTTAGGGGAGAGACTATCCAAACTCTTGCTATAATCTGAGTTAGTGTAGGCACTGGAATTGGTACTTGGCTGCTTGGTGAAAACTTTGGGCATCTGGAGTTCTTTAACTGCCCAGAGCTCAATGTGGATGCTTTTAGGTACTCAAGGTACTGAGAGCCATTTGTAGGTCAGGCACAGTGAGGGGTCCTTAACTCCCCACTCACCTCCTGTTTTGCTTATATCTGTGCTTTTTTTAAGCCTGGTTATGAGGATTAACCAAGAGAATCATAGCTTAGCTTGGCAAAACTATTACATAAACGTCATTAATTTTGCATAACAACTACAGTAGTTAAGACTTTAAAACCCAGATTTCCACTTTTCTTAGAACTACTTCTTGTTTTGAAATGTGATTATGTGTTTCAAAAACTACTAATTAGCACTATCCCTTGAAAATTCACATGGGTTTATTCTAAGAAGTTTTACCTTCATACTAAAGTGTAGAGTCTTTAAATTATTAATTCCATAAATCATGTCAGTGTTCCTACATAACTGCTTGATTTTATCCTTAAATAATCTGCAGCTTATTTTTAAACACTAGGATTAGAGATCTTACTCCTCTAAAGTTAGAGATGTGAATAGATGGATATGGCATGGTACAGCAGAGGGTTACAGTGCAGATTTTGAATTCTTGCACTGTGTGCTGGACCTGCAGCAGTGCCCAGGGGCAGCAGTCAGAACCAGAGCACAAATCCTGTGGAGGATGACCAGAGCCTGTCTTCTGAACAGCTTTCCATCTCATGTCAGGCAAAGCTCATCAAGTGATTTCAATTCACAGAATGGGTGAAGGAAAAGAGAAATAAAGAATGCAGCTGACCACATACTTCAGCTAGGCACACAGCTGGGTTTCCTGAAGCATGTAATCTCTCATTTGCTTTATTTTTAGTATTTTATCTTATTTTGCCCCTAACCAAGCAGTTGATATTTGAATGATTTGTCATTTGAATGATCTAGCTGAAATCTGTCCTTTGGGAAAGAGGAAAGTAGCCTGCTGTACGCATTAGTTAGGGCAGGAGTCAAGGGAACAGCATCCAATATCAGTAACATTTAGAAAACTTTTTATTACATTGATTGGCAGCAAAAATATATCCAGCACAAAGGAAATAACCAGCAACTGTTTTGGTCTTCTTCAGGTATTCTAAGTAGCATTAGACAACTTGTTGACACCACATATCGTTTTTAAGTGAATGTAGGTGGTATTGCATTTTTTTATTTAGTTAAAGGAACAATATGACGCCTAGGACATTTATTTATATTTTGAGTTGTTTTATAACCTCAATATTTGCTCAGTGATCTAAGCTAAATGAAGGTAGCAAGCCTCCTGTGTGGGTTATCAGCCCTCTGCACAGCAGAGTGGCCATAAATACGGCTCTCATGGGGCTACCAAGACCCACAGCTGAGCAGGAGATGGGAACTTTGACTCTCTGCTAAGCCCATTCTATAAACCAGAGAGGGCACTGAGATGTTTTTCACTTCTTTCTTGCCAGAAGGATGACTCAAAATCAAAATGTAAATATTTAGTCATGGTCTGGCTCATGGTCTGCCCAAGGCAGCATCATAATGGGCTTGTCAAAAACATTCTTCTAATTGTTTTAATTACCTTAAACAAAAACATAAACCAATTTTTTCTACTTACACTCTTACTATAGTATATATATTTTTTTTCCCTGCTGATGCTGAGAAGTCAGCAGAAAGTATTCCTAATATTGAAATCTCTGTATCTGAAAGGTATTGCTGAAAGGTAGTGGCCTTTTATACATTTCTCTATTAAATTTAAAATACCAGACAGTTTAAAAAGGTGCTTGGAGGAAAAAAAAAGGACTTTTATTACTCTACAAAAAGCTTATGCCTCATACTGATCTGTGTGGTTGTTTTACATGCAACATTGCATAATGGCTAATAATATAATGATGGGATAAAAAGTGGGGCAAATGTTTCCTCTGTGTTTCTATGGGTATGTGTTCTAGTAATTAATAAATGATGGTGAAAAATAACTATCCCTTTTTTTTTATATATAACTGGAATTTTTTTTCAGAAAGTTCATCAAGTTTTGTCTTTGTTATGTCATAAATCACATTTTGGTTCATCTTGTAAACAGAGATAAAATTGCCTTCCCAACATATTCCATGTTTTCCTGTGTAATTAACACCTCATTCACAGTTGTGTCTGCCAATCAAAGCCCTGTCTTCTTCCTTCTGACACTTCCTTGATACTTTGTTTAGACGGCTGTGACTTAAAGTGTCACCCTCAGGATATTTTAGATAAGTTCAAACAGGAAAAGGAGGGTGCTTCAAGAAGTCAACACTGTAGATTATTATAACTCGGAGGGACTATTTTAAAAGTATGGAGTAATTTATTGTCGTTTATTACATTATTACCTCTCAGTCTGTTTTTCCTACTTTCTAAGGGAACTTTACCGTTTCTTTTTTTTTTTTTTTTTTTTAAGTCAGGAAATATCAGTATCCACCTGTATTTCCAAAGCAGAGGTCAGTCCGAAAGTATAGACGTAGCTATCTGCAGCTCCCTTTGCTCGTGCATGTGTGGCCAGGCAAGCTTCTCAGTTGCTCAGTGAACAACACCAGTGAGCTGACCAAAGTCAAAACCTACTCCACGTTAGCCCAGCTGAGCCCCCAGCCCTAGCTGGTCCTGGGGCTGCAGAGGGACTGTTACCAGCACAGCAGAGGACGTGCTGGTAGTAAGGGCCAGTAGAGCATTGAGTCTAGTCTAGGCTCCTAGTACTGTATTTTGGTTCTAAAAATTCACCCTTAGCTGCATCAGTTACAGCCCTGCATGTGCAAGTACTGGTGGGATTAAACAGCTCAGCACATAACAAATGTCTCAGCTAGTTAAGACCCAGGAACCTGACCCTCCAAACATACTGAGGTGGTTTTGTTTCCTGCTGACTGGCTGAGGACGTTCATAAAATCGTGGTGGCAGTGTACATGTTGTGCTCAACCCAATGGCTGAAACACATCCACACAATCTTTGTTCTGTTTCTTCTTCAGCTTGAAGGGCTTGAGATACCTACCACTCTCAGGAGAGTCCCTGGCTTCTATGCAAGAGGTTGCCCTGGAGAGCTGCAGGGTGTGAGAGAGGGATTTTCCACCCTTACTGGCATCCCCTCAGTATAGATCAAGATTAATGAAATGAACAGCATGAGAGAGCTTTCCTACAGATCAGGGCTCTCATCTGGAAAGAGCAAAACTGGATTCCACTTTCTGTTCCTGAGAATACTTCTGCAGTCTATGTGACACTCTTATTTAACAAACTACAGAAGCGTGCTTAGAAGTAGCGAGCATAGCTTACAGAAATATCCCTAGGTGTTAATTGTGAACCATCAGCCAGAATTTTATTTTTTTCACTTTTTAAGCCAAGTTTTTACCAGGACACCTCCCTAATGCTCAACATTAATTTACATTTGCCATATGCAAGGGAAAAGTTTACCCTTAATGGATACAGCACTTTTTTCTTTAGCCTTTTCACCTAGATATTAGTTGTTCTCAGCTGTTGTTTCCAAAAAATGTGCATCAGATTTCAGCTTGGCAATATAAGGATGTTAATTCCTGTAAATTACTTCCATTTTTATGTTGATCTTCCTAAAAAAAAGCATATGTGAAAACAGTTGTTCAAGCAAATCTGTACTAAAAAATTGTAATAGTTACATATGCACGTGTTTTTTAGAAACTGAGTGCAAAATCTCCCTTAAGTAGACTTTTATGGACTTTATGTTTTATTGCAAATGATTTTGCATGAGCATTATATATACACAGATGGTAGTAATTGCACAAAGAAGGTGAACTGTTTTTGCAAATAAATCTCTGGCTTTTGTGCTCATTATCACATCCCAGAGAAGAAGGTACATGTGTTTTCTAATTGGGTTATATTGCACATACGTACATCCCAAGCTCTGCAGTATTCATACAAATATCATTTCTTTATACCTCATCAAGGTACTTTGTAATAACCCTATCAATATGCACCATATGTAATAACCATATCAATATGCGATATTTGAGACAAAGCTTTAAAATGTGACCAGGATAGAGATGCAAATATAGTTTGTTAGAACTATTAAAGCAATCCTAGAACTACTCATATTAGATAGTATTGCAGTCACTGATATAGAGTGTTCATTTTGAATGGATTTTGTTGGGGTTTTTTGGCTAATACATAAGGCAACAAATCTTTTCTTAAAATTCTTGTTCCAAATCAGTCCCTAACCACAGCATTTATAAATGTCTGTTGTAATTTTTTTGTTTCCAGGGGAGACGAGGCAAACCAGGTCTTCCAGGGAAACCGGGGCCACCAGGACCTCCTGTGAGTAATGAATGAGAGGAATGGGAAATTTTCACTCTGTCCTGGGACTTTGTTAACTCCTTTATAGCAGGTTACTGGATCAAAATTATAGTTTAAAATAATTGATCTGTGTGTACTCTGCTGTATCAAACACCTACTTCTGGTAGCCTTTTGTTGCAGCATAAATAAAAGAAGTGGGTCTGCAAGTAGGAGGGATTACACAGGAGGGAAAGAACAAGATGGAAACTTCAACGGAGGAAGCAGAAATCGGCATTTCAAAGAAAGACTGGCCATGTATGCTAGCTGTGAATATTGTGCTTTCATTCCCTTTGCAAAATGCATGATGCTCCATAGAAGAAGGGATAATTTCTGTCTCAGAGGTGTAATTTGAAAGATGAAGGACTCTGTGAAGCATGTGCCAACTGTCTGAATGATGGGGAGGATTATACCCAGCACTGGAATGAGCACTCAGCTGTAGTTCAAATGAGTTGACTGAAGAATTAAAAAGATTAAGAAATACATGACTTTATGAAAGGATTTGTAATATGAAGAACTAAAAGGTTTAGCTCAGATCTAAGAGGTTTGGGATTTTCTTTTTCTTCTCTATTAAAAAAAAATAAAGGATTTAAAATTCAAGTCAGGCATGAATGTATCTTAGTCTTCAACGAAAGCAGCCCTTTTTTTGTTAGAAGAAGGCTTAGTCATATTTGTAAAATTCTCTGTGCATTGTATTATAAAAATGCTGTCCTGCACAAATGCAAAACAGCTATTTGTGGATTAAGTAAACTTCTGCTGCTTTACATTCTTAATATAAAACAAAAAAACTTATCATTCCTTCTTTTGCTTACCTGGATAAAGGCTAGTGGTTTATGCATCTGAACACTTGATTCAAATGTTTCAACCTGGTCTTATATGTAGAGAAGAGAATAATGCACTGCTGCACAGGATACAATGACTAAAATGGAAAAGATATCATCTATCCTCATCAAAAACAAAAACTGCATACATTTCATAAATAATTTTCTTCTTGAAAAACGTGTTTAGAAAGAGGCATTTATGATGGAATTCATTTATCCTGCATAAAACCAGTTAAAAATCCCTCCCTTTAACTCTTCTGCCCTGCATAAAGTCATATTGAATCCTTGCTTGTTTGAGTCTTTTGCACAGTCCTAATGCTGAAATGATATTGCAGATTGCAGGAGGCCAAACAGAGGAAAGGAGTGATGCAGAATCTTTCTTAATACGAGTGCCAAATATAACCTTTAAAGGATAAAAAAGCAAACCATAGCAGAGGTCAATGTTAGACCTAATCTACTTAGCTTTTTGTGAGCTAGTGAAAAGCTGTTTCTGCGTTACAGATTTCTGCCATCCTAGATTTGCTGGCAGGTCAGACTTGTGAAGATGTATGATCCTTGACAGATATACCAGAAATCTTGAGAGGAAGCCTTATCTCAGATTTTCTTGCAGCAAGTGGAAAGCTCAACTTTGTCAGCATGGCAATGTCACTACAAGGAACTCTGTATTGGATAGTAGCCTAGTACTACATACAGAAAAGCATTCCTTAAACAGCCATGGCCTAAATATTGGTTTAAAGTATTTGTTTCTGGTGTAACTCTCTTGATGAACTCCTCACTTTGAATACAGCTATACCACCATCTTGTGTTCCTCTTCCAAGGCTGAGAAGATAACACATAGAAAAGGCATACTCTAAAAGCAGCAATGACTGCTCACATGCATTGACAGGATCCCCATACTTCAAGTGCCACAGCTTATATGCACCAAAAAAACATTAACAGGATCCATCATTCCCCCTCTCCTTTTCAAAGCTCAATCTATATTCAGTTTTGCTGTGCTTCCAGTTACCCTTCTCCCCTAATAATGAGCAGCTGCTTCATGCACGTGGATGCATTTTTAGCCCTTGCTCTGGCTTTTCCAAAGTGCAACAGAACAGTCACACCTGCAGTGCGGTTGCTGGTATAACTTTGGCCTACACAAGGTACAAAATGGCTAACAGATTGAATATGTAAAAATTAGACTCTCCAGTATAAAAAAGTTTGTGTTTTGGCTGATGTTTCAAAAACAAAAGGGTTTTTATTGTTTTTGAGAAAAAGAGATTCAGTCATTAATTGTTAGGGTAGCTAGAGCATGCACTGTGTGTTTGAAATTAATAAATTTACCTAATTTATTTATCATTTTATGCCATGATGATGAGTATTTCATTTAGATATTAATACAGTCAAGTGCTCAGTACTGACAAAAAAAACCCCAAAAACAAAAACATAAAAACTGTGATAAGAAAATAAAATACTCAAGGTACTTATTATAAAGGGCAGTCCTAATAACAATGTGCACATATAGGGATTTGTGGGGAAAAGACTGGGGTAAAATTAAAGAAAACTGGAAAGTTACAAAAATTGCAGTCAGCATATATGCTGTGCTTTCATGTGACAGAAGTGTTAAAGCACCTGCTAACAGTCAAAATTCTACTTGTAGCATGGCAGCATTTAAGACTTTTCTAACCTTCTCTAAATATCTCATCTTTTTACTTTTTTTTTTTCCTAACCTAATTTCTGGGGATTGTTTTTCAGTAAAATTACTGCTTGGTGTGAGTTTCTAGTCCCTTAACATCATCTGCATAGCTTTGGTTAAAAACCTTTATCACTGTCAGAAACATAGATTGATTGGCATCTGGTAATGAAACTACTCAGTTAAAGTGGGACTTTCTATGAAATTTTTCCCAGATATCCTTTCTTTTGTGTCATTTTTTCCTTATGCTTTCTTTTATGTTATTTTTTTTTCTTTTCCCTCTTTGGAACAAATCCTGTGCTCAAAAAGGCAAAGAGTCAATGAGGATTTTTATTGATCAGCTATAAAAAATATTTTTGTAAACTTATGGAATATATTCTTCCTTTGTATTTGTGTAAAGTCTATTACATATTAGAGACTTTTAATGTGTTCATTGATTCCCTTCTGGTTCAGAATTGGTAGGATGCATCCTTGCTGTTGTTTTTGAGTGCTGTTCTGTTATCTCTGTACAGGAGAGCCGAGATGTGTGCTTACACGCATCTCAATCCAGGGAGTAGCAATTTGTGCTGAATACAAGAATTCAAGTAGAGCAGCAGCTCCCTCTAGCGCTTTTTGACCTTTTCTCCACTTTTAAAGCTCCTGGATAGCAGTGAAAATCTTCTGTTAAACACACTATTCACTTTGTTCTCACAAGCATTCTGAAAATTGTGATTGTAAAATCAATATCTCTGTACCCTTCAAATGTATTTTATGCATTTGCCTACTTCCATTTTCTTCTAAAGTCTTCTGAAAGAGAGACTGTCACATGCTGTTACCCTGCTCAGCATGGCTCTTCACTGAAATTGAAATGCTGATTTTATGAAACAAAAAGAATTACTATGATAATAGGATGCTTTAAGGTTGTAGGAATAGCATTTTGATCAGACTGCAGAACTGAGCTGATTGCGCTCGTCTGCCATAGCTGCTGACTAAGTCTATAGAGTTCAGCAACATGGACGGGGTCCCTGATGTCTGTCACTGATTATTTATTTTTACCTTTAAATGAATCAGCAGGTAAAGCAATTTACATAGATGGGCTAGAGAACAGAAAAAAAGGAGTTTCTCTCATTTCTTCAGTGAGGGTTAACTTTATCTTTCCTGTCCTGATTTTCTCTGTCTCTACAGGAACTGTTATGACTGGAGCAATTCCATTTCTTAATAGCTCCCATTTTACTGAGTTAACTTGTTTTTGAAGTCAAGAGTGCTAAGCTAGAGTTGTGCTACAGACTTGCACCAGTATTAAAAAAATTCTTCCAGATGAGTCTGACTTTTGTCCAGTTATTCTTTAGCTGAAGTGAAATGTTATTAGCACAGGTTTGTAAAGGTTAGAAGCATGAGGACTGCCTGTTCTGGCCAAACACAACCTTGTCCAATCTACCTGTGGCAGAGATGGGAAAGAAACCGAGGGTGTGTTAAATCACAGGCTAGTAAACTGTAATCACAATTGCTATAGCTTTTGAAGTTCATCATTCAGTTTATCATTTACCTTTGCAAGAGGCTGAACTTCATATTTTTTATTTTCTCAAGTATTTTGCTTGGAAGATGAGCTTTGTGTTACTCCCTAAAGTTTTAAATTAAAATAGGGTTTCATTTTTGTCTGCATTGCATGTGATGGAGTAGAGGAGTTCACTTGAACTACTTCATTTAATTACATACACATTTGGTGTTGTAATTCAGTACATATGTCAGTGCCCCCCGACTAGTTATCTTAAGTAGCCAGCAGTTCACCTTGGAAATTTCATTTCCTCTGCCTTAGGAAATATTGTCATTCCTCTACCAATATTTTGGGAGTGAGTGAATGTTATCGCGTAATTACAATAAATAAAAAATCAAAGTGATGATAGGTGAAAATTGTCAGTAGCATTTCTGGTTTTCCTGGACTTTCAGCTGCTTCTTAGAAGAATATTGGAAACATTTAAATTATAGTGTGGGAATGGCTGGCAAAGGTTGGTCTTATTGCTTGTTTCTATGCATTAAGTTTTTTTATCCATATCAAAATGTAATTTATTTCTTGTGTCCTATTGTGGCAGACATCATGTTTTCATCATTCTTTCCATTTGCTCTTTGGAATTGTTATGCAATATTGCAATAAACATCTGCCCTGATGAGTTTCATGATGTTCTGCATTAAAATAAATAGAAAAACAGTTTCTTATTTTAATGGGCAGGCACTAAAGTGAAATACAGGGATAAAGTAACTGCACTGAGTCACTTGCAGGCTGTGTTCTCTGAATTGGCCTCTTTTTGAGATGCAACCAATGCAATTTACTTGTTACCCATTTTATGCATGGACTGTGAGATTGGGTAGGTTTTTTCAACAGTCTCATCTTTACAGAAATGCAGGTGAACTATAAAAGTTAAGGGAGGAAAATACGTTGTAAGCCCCAGTAATTTCACAGTTTAGAGCTATTTGCCTTTAAGCACCTGTGTTTCTATTCCTGCCTTGACTGTAGAAATAACATCTGAAACCTGTTTGCAATTTTGGAAAACAATCAGGACACATTTTCAGTTCTTTTCTTATTCATACAACTCTACTCTGTGTGCTTCACTTCTCTCAATTACACAACTTGATATTTGAAAAAAAAAAAAAAAAAGAAAACCCTGCTCAAGTGAGCTTCAAAGTGGCAGATGTGCAAAGTTCTCATTCAAAAGCTAGAAACTGCTGGTACAATAATTCTTCAACTGTTGTTAATTTCATTGCTTCTCCACTTTCAAACCAATGCTGCTGGGGTTTTTTAGTCTGTAGAGACTTCAGAGTAGATTGTGCAACTATATTAGTGTAGGGAAACTGTGGAAGAAAAGAGACTATGGTTAAGGAAAAAAAGTCTTGAATAAAAATCTTTTCTTTTGTTGTACATTTGTTTTGCTAGGTTTTTATTATAGAAAAAGAAAGATGGAAATATGAAATTATTACATCTATGTCAATTTTTGGAAAATGGAAATACTAAACTGGTAACTCAAAGGCTGTGGCATAGTCAAGAATGCAACCCAAATACCTAAAGTTCTCCTTGACTGTCTTGGTCATGAGACATTCTGGGGATTTTTAAGGATATTTGTTTTTCAAAACTATGGCAATGTACTTTTTATCCTGACAAAAATTATTTATGTACAAATCATATCTGAGGGTTTGGGGCTGATGGCAGATACATCATTAAGTTTTTCCTGGGTTGTGTGACTGCAGCAGTTTCAGTTGTGGAAAAAAAGTAAAAGAATTATGGTACATTATGTCAAATGCAAAGGGAAAATAAGTTCTTATTTTTGACTCCTTGCAAGATTTCAGAATTCTCCAGGAATCCTGAGTTCAAGGATGCAACACAGCAGGTTTACAGTGCCGACGTTGAGATGTCTAGGCAGTGTCATCATACTTCAGCCCCAGTTCTAGATTGTCAGCTTTATTATGGATATCAAAGTAAAAATTCTGCCTTTAACTTCAGAAATCAGAGTGGAGTGAGATATTAGTGAAAACATCATGACCATATTGATCTTATTTTTAACGTAAATTTGAAGTGACAATTCACTTTGAAATAACAGGAATGCCCTTTTTTCTCTTCCAATGTAGGGAAGAAGGAGGGAGTGAAACACCTGAGATGTTTCATGTGGCCTCCAAGTTTTCCTAGTATCCACACTAAGACAAAAGCTGCAGAGGGTAAATTGTAATTATAAAAAGTCCCAGAGGAGTGCTTTTGTGCCCTGTCTATATTACATCTGGGTCAATCAGGCTAAATCATTTACTTGAATATATTGTAATCTTATTAATACAGTTAAGTGTTTCTTACAGCCATCATGAGTGGTTGTTTTTCATATTTTCATTATTCATATTTTCATTATGTGAAAGCTTCAACTCAAAGAGACTAAATATGTAAATTTAATTGAGTCTTAGTTCATAAGAACTGGCTGTACTTTCTGTGTTCTGCTCCATCTACCAAACTTAAAAATCTCATTGAGGGAATGCTTTTTGGCAGAGTATGCCTAAAAAGGGGGGTATTTAATGTCCAAACATGTTTTTTTCCCAAGCACATTTTTCAGTGTTTCTGTCCTAAATGTTCATTTGGTCAGGAAGTTCATTTTTCAGTGTTGAATTTCTTGATGAAACATGTGTTTAAGTAAAAACTTACAATGCTAATAAAACTAGAAATTTAGTATTCTGGAGAATTCTGGCTTTCCTCAGTTTCGCTTACTGTACTCTCAGGTTAAAAACTTAGCAGTTCACTGACTCTAGGACCCACTTCTACATTAAAACTTATGCTTTGAGTTAGTGGAAAGAGTTTTAAAATGCTGCAGAACAAGAATGTTGTTCATACCAGAAGGGACTTGTATTAAAATTGATATGGATTTCATTTCTGCCTTCTCTGACTGACCAATTCACTTGAAAATAAGTTGCTGGCTTTCAAAATTCAGAGATTTGAAAACTAACTTTCTTCTTTCTCTGTGCCAGAAAAAAAGAAATAATGAAGCTACAGAAGATAATTTCCTGTACACTCAAAAAAAAAAAAAAAAAAAATCAGAAACCTTTTACATCTCCACTGCTCTTTCAAAAAGATAAGCAAACATAAAATTAGTTAAATTAAAATGACCTTCTGATGCATATTTTTCCATATAGGGCCCATCTGGACTAAAAGGAATCCTGGATTCATTGAACAAACATTATAATGAGGTATGGAAATTTGATTTGGTATCTGTGTGGATTTATGACTAAGTAGTATCTAAGTTAGAAATTGCTATAGTTTTGATTTCTGTTGGCCACATTCCAGTTTAATTCAAAAGGAAATTTCTTTCCTGCCCACTTTCTGCATCCCTTTACAAGCTTCAGTCCACACTGTGTCCCCTATGTCCTCTATCTTGCTGCCATGTGTATTGCCTCCCATCCATCTTCTACTTATTTGTTTTTGATTGGTAAAACTCAGAAAGGAAATGTGTGGACCACCTCGCTGTTAGTGTGAAGCACCAGCTCCCCATTTCTAAACCTAATTGCTTCAAACTGTACTTGATGTTTTTTTCTTTACCAACTCTGTCATGATTCTAAGAGTAAAATAGAAAGACAAGGAGGCATAATTTTGAAAAGATCTGCCAGCAGTCCATGAGAATTGTCTTTATGTTTGTATTATGGACTAATAAAAACACTGTGTCAATTATAAAAGCTCCTGCAGTTAAAAGAACTTAAAGGACTACAAAAGTTCAAATTGCATAAGACTGTGTTCAGCTTGACAGAGCTTTTACATTCTTATTGCAGGTCTTTCAAGTCATTTAAGCTGCGGTAGTGTCTGCCATTGTATGAAAATAGAGAAGTTTGCTAAACTGATTTGGGAGTATGTAACCTCTCTGATCAGAAAACATTCAAAATTCAAGATGCACTATTGCAGCATTATTTCCCAGTACAGTAGTTAATGTGTGTATCACAACTTGAAACATGCAGGTCAAGCCTGGAGGGAATTAATTTATTTTAATATTAGAATGCGTTAACTATACATGAATAGAATGCACATGTATTCAGGTAATTTTCTTATTTAACATTCCCAGATGGCTGCTAAAATCTTTCCTTGAACAGGGATTGTGGTGTTAAATTAATGTCAAACATACCTTTCCAGCTGCTTTATCACTGAAGTGATTTCTCTGATATTAATTATGATATTTAATCCATCCCAAATCAGTATATCATCTTAGAAGCATGCCTTAGGAATTAAGCATAGAGCATTTTTTTATGCCTAGAGAGTTTGTTTCTGTATTTGGTCTCTTGCTTCACATATATATGTTGAAGTTTTATATATTTTGGGTTTCACGTTTGGTTTCCTTACCAGTTTCTTTTTCCTGCCAAAGAGCTTTCACTGATACCAACACTGTTTCCTGTATTGATACCATATTTTTTGTAACTCATTCCCCACCTCTGCCTTATCAGTCTCTTTAATCCTGTTAGTCCCTTTAAGGTTAATTGTGCAAGAGGAATTACAAACAGTGATGAACTCCAGGAAATGGCACACATCTGTCTCCAAAAATCATGCTTCTTATAATTAGAAGGCTCTAAGTATTCTTAAGGTGGCTAATATTTCCTAATTAACAAATTCTGGAAAAAATGTAGACCAGCTGGTACGGGTCTATAAATTAATCATCTTTCAAATCCTGGATAGCTTATCAACTTTCTTCTTCCTTCAGCTGTCTAGTTTGAAGATTTTAATGACTCTGTCATAAGCAATTAATTGTTCAACAAGCAAATGCTGGTTTATTCCAGATGAAAGAGGAGCTGGCTTTCTGATTCAAGTAGAAGGTTCTAAATATGAAAACTTACAGTTAAAGTTGGCTCCTAGAGTCAACTTAAGTCTCCAATAACAAAGGTATTAATTCCTATACATTTTAGGATGGGATTGAAGTATTCCCATCAAGGACAAGGCAAAGACGTCTTCAAAGAAAAGAACAGGTTCTCTGCTTTGCCTTTGATTCACTTAGGTAGATGTGTGCACCAGTAACTTTTCTTTTCTCCATGCTATTACATAGTATGACAGAAGCTGATTTTTGTCCTCAGCACCTTGGAGACATCAAGCAGTCTTTCTCATTCCAGCACTGAACTGGCTGTGTGCCTCAGTTGTCATTGGTGAAATGATATTTGAGTGATATTCTGAGGTTTTTGAGGTTCCTTACAGCACAGGGAATGATGATGTCATCTTCCATCATTTTATCCATATTCCAAAGGATGTCACAAGGTCTTCTTTCAGCTTGGTGTTTAAAATGTTTAGCTATTGACCACATTTTAGTTGTTATAACTATTTTCACACCTTTTTTTTATTTTCCTTGAGAATATTAGTATGGCTTCTTTGTGTTGGTATTTCTGGGAACCATGAGAAACTGATATGAAGAAATGTGGTGGCTCTTAAGACCCACCATAATTAACAATGTTTTTCCTGTTTCTCTAATTTCTCTGTTCCTTATAAGATTATTTGCAATTTTCCTGATTGCTGTATGGTAATTTCTAATTGCTGTAATAAGTATTGGTAATTTCACAATATATTTAAATAATTTATTGCAACCAGGATTTTTCTGGGTCAGCATCAATCACTTTATCAGAGGGATTTTTAAGGAGGCTAGAGTGCAAGCCTTTAAAAGCATAATTTACTTGAATCATGTATACAGTGAAAGAGCACCATAAATACAATTGCTGATTGCAGCAGCAAATTGTGCTGAACAGCAAACCAAGATCAGCAGTCTTTCTTTAATGAAGGTGAGAGGAACCTGTCTAGGATAAGTAGTAGCATTGATCCTTAATGGGGTGGGAGACAGTGCTGGAGCATTGCTTCCCTCATTCTTCCTGTGTTTTTACAGGTGACTGTTTTTATATATCTTCTTGTTATGTCTTTTGCATTTTCAGCATGAATCAGATGCTTTGCATGTGTTCAATAAACACATTTTGTTATCTTCTTTTGCCAAGAAACTAGTTCTGCCCTGTGCGTTACATTCATTCCTTCAGAGAGGAATAAATGATGCTTCATGATTTGCATTTATATACTCTCAGGCCTCTGTTATCTTTACTTAGGTTTTCAAGGCCTCTGTTTGGCATCCTTCTTTTTTACCAGTTTGCCATGCGTAGATATATGGTCATTTAGCCAAACTTGCTTCTAAGTATCTTTAGAAAGGACATGTAAACCAGTTTAATAAAAAATGTTCTCCAGTACATATGAATAAAAAATTAAACCAAAACACAAAGAAATTGACACTACAACACAATCTTGTCAGGAAATGTTTCAGAATCATTAAAATTTCTAGTAATTTTAGATTATTATGGAATAATTCAGTATTAACTTTCTAAGTTTTTTTCTTTGTGTGTGTGTGTGTGTGTATTTTACTTGCATTTTGTTTTAAAGGGGAAATTACCTATAAAAATGCAAATAACATAAGGGTAGCTATTTGGTCTAAAAGCCTTTTTTTTTTCTTTTGTTCCATATATGCAAAAAAAAAAAAAAAAAGTACGACTCAGTATAAATCATAATTTCTAGTGTACTCATGGTAACAGACACCTGGATTCTCAGTCCAGTAGTAGCCAACTGCTTCTCATCAGTACTCAGGTATCTAAGTGTCTGCATCTTGTTCTGAAGGTGATTTTGATAATGAGTGTACTCACAGTGTTGCAAACCTTCAACACCTAAATCCATCAGGAAATTAGCATTTGTAAAATAATTATTGATTTTTTTTCAATTTATATTCAGTTACTATCTTCTGAAAATATTAACATAGTGTAAATGGCACATTTATTCATTGTGATATTTTCCCATTTTAGAGCTATGGAAACTGGGATATGGCAAGTAGAGTTGGCTTACTCAGGGTTCCTGCTCACCCAGTAGCATCTGTTCTAGGATTGGGATTCCCTGGGTCTTAAATGGAGCTCATTTTTCAGGGTTATTGGGATTTTGTTTCTTTTTCCATTGTCATTGCAAAGAAACATCTTCCCCTTAGGAAGTCTGACTTTATGAAAGGGAAACCATATGCTTGTGTTTTTACCTTGTACAGAGAATAAATAAATGCAATGCAATAACAGCTGAGCAAGTATAGAACCTGAACTTTCTAGTCCTTAAGTCTGTCTTCTTTGAGAAGCAATGTGAGAAGCCTGTTCCCTCTCCTTTGTCTTACTACTGTAGTAAACTTAAATTAGCTCTAGTTTTTCTACATTTCATGGTGCTCAAACGTAAAAAGCTTGTTGTTCTTCTTCATAAAAGTGGGGGGTTTTCTTCTTTTTGAACATACTTGAGAAATGTATTGTAACAATGAGCATAAAAATATGTTCTTTGTGTTGAACTTAAAAATCATAGATTTACATAGCAATAGTCAACATAGACATTTCCCTTTTATGCTTTTGTTCATTTTCTGCAAGTGTGGCAGGAGTACTGCATAGGCATTTAATATTATTCCCTTTTTAGTAGTAAATTAGGACTTCTGAATTTACTACTGGTTAGATACAATAAATTGCTACTGTAAATAAATTGTTACTGGAAGTAAATAGTGGTGTTTTCTGATCTTTATGGTGATATTTCTTTCCAGAGTGATGCAAGACTACTAGGAGAACTTGGGACCCTTGGACTTAAAGGCCAGAAAGGAGACATTGTAAGAATTTGGAATGAATTTGGAGAAGTTTCAAAGTGCCTACCCAACTTCTCCCTGCTGCCCTCCACACAGTGGATTTTATTTGATTTATCCCAATGGACTTTGAAGGAATAGATTTTTGAGATGACTGGCACTTTGATCTGTGTAGACCAATATCCAACTCATCATGCTGTACTGCAGTGGCAGCAGGATAACTCCTCTAGTATAAATAGAAAGGAGAAATTCTGAAAGAATTATGTATGGTTTCTATAATGCCATCTGAGAAGTCAAATAGCTGCCCTGCCAGTTACATGGGAAAGAATATGAAAAAGTTGAAATTCAGAAAATATTTTGCATAGTAAATAATGAATATTTAAAGCAGTTGCTCTGTAACAATGAGGTTTCTATACCAAAAATACTCATAGACAACCTCTAAAAATTACATGCAAGTCTAATTCTGAATCAACACCATATGGCATTATATTGTTTATAGTTATCTGTCCTGTATAAACAGCTCACTGATATTTTAAAACTTGCATGCCTTTCTAACTTTTAAGAGAAGAGACAAGTGCTCTGGATATGTGACAGAATTTACAACATTTTATTGACAAGCATGCAGATCTTCTATGGAAAATAGTAATTTAAATTAATTTGCAGATGTTTAAGCTTGATTTCCATTGTAACAAATGTTAAGATTATGTGGCCCACATACAACAAAATACAGTTAAAGAAGAGGAGGGGATTATTTACATTTGCCAGAATACAAAGATTTTAAATATCATAAATTTTGTTAAAAGGGTCAAAAAGGAGAATTGGGAGTGACTGGTGCAAAAGGAGAAAAGGTGAGATAATTCCTTACTTCTGTGCTCATGTATTTACTAGAAGTTGACGCAATGTACTGATTATGAATGAAATCTTGTAAAATGTGCAGGAGATCAAGAAAAAATGCTTGTGCATGGAAAAAGCTGTCAGTCTCTAAATATCCTTTGTACTTTATTCAAGCCGCTCTTTGGGAGGGTATTTACATAGGCGAGTAAATTTCCCTGCTCTACCAGCTCATGAAGTCCTTAGCTTTAAAAATATTCAGACATTTACTTAATACCAGTTTAAATTTATTTTTATATAAGTTTATGACCAGAGGCTGCCTCATTAATTAGGCGCCAGCCATAATTTTTCAAGTTATGAATGTATAGATCTTCTATATCTATATGAAAAAACAAGAAGCTTTAAATTATTAAAATTTACAAACTAGCATTCTAATTTAGTATATTTTAGTTTAAGCATAAATTTTATAGCATTATTCAGGAAGTATTATTTGGGAACAGACTTGTATTTTACTTTTCTAGGAACGTATGTTATACATAGTTCTACTGATTAATAGGTGTTTTCCCATTTGCTGCGAGGCTTCTTGGTTTCTTTGTTCATACCTATAAAATTAGTTTTCATGCAGGCAGAAACAGTATTTTACTCATGCGATATAACATATTTATGATTTTTTGTGTTATAAAGCATCTGTGTTTGAGAATTTTTCAGATTTGGATTCTTGATTACTCTCTTTAGTTTATGTTCCTGACACTCCTTTGTGCTCCTGCTTGAAAGGATCATGGATGTTATGGTCTTGGCATTAAATCAACATCATCTTTCAAGTAAACTTTTGTGGTACATATATTTGTATTTTAGACAGGTTTTAAATAGCCACATTTTCCAGGACTCTTCAGCAAAACCAGACATATATGTTTTTTACCATTTTAAATAAATCTGTTAACCTATTTTCTACTTTTCTTTAGGGAGAGCCTTCTGTAAAAGGGGACAAAGGAGACCCAGTAAGTATAGCATGTTTTGAACTGCTGTGAATAATGTCCATTTGAGATTACTTTCATACCATATTCATTCTGTAATTCTTTTCTTTGTAGACATTTGTTAGATGCAGGGATTACATAGGATAGCATATGTATTGTCTCCTAACATGTGCAACAAGGTCTCCGAGGTTATAAATAAAAAACAGAGGTGCCCTGTTTTTCAGAATTTCTGTTGCTGGTACTGTCCATGAACTGAGTTTAGAGCACATGCTTTCATTATTCCCTGAAAGTTCTTTCTTTCAGCTTTTCAGCAAAGTTTTATGTGGTGCGATCTGTACTGTTTTGATGACATCAGTGTGGCATTTACCATCAGGCTGTTCTCATACAGCCGTTTTCTTATTTTGAGGCATATTTTTCAGAACACTCACTCTGTAAGAGTCTCTTTGCTTATGTTACATATTTGTAATTAATTACTGTCCTCTCTTATGATACTTGACAAAAGCTAGTTATGCTTTTTAATATAAAACTCAAGGTTGCTGAGATATTTGTGGTTAAGGTATTATAATAATCAGAATAAGTCCTACTGTAATAAAGTGTGGGTTTAGAGGTGAATACTGGGTACCAGAAGAGATGTAGTGGTGAAGAATAGCCTGGAAATAGACTGAAAATGCTCTTCAGGAAATGTAGTGTTTTCAAACATTTTTCCTTTAATTGGGAAAACTTGCAAAAAAATTAGGTTGCTATGTCTTTTAGAGTTTGCAAAAGGCATCAGAAATTATTTCATATTTTCTCAATGTTTAAGTTTGCAAACTGTATTGCAATATTTTAAGGTAGCAAATTGAACTCTTATTTGATCCTACTTAAATTTCTAACTTCTTATAGTTGTATTTACTATTTTCAGGGAGAGACTGGACTGGAGGGATCAAAAGGAAATAAGGTATTTTTGGACTTGTATATACTACGTTACCAGTATGCATAGATGATGCTGGGAGACATAGCAGTAAACTTGGAATTTTTTGTTTTCTCAAACAAAATCATTAGGGTGAAATGGGAGATCCTGGACCACCTGGTCTTATTGGAAATCCAGGATCAAAGGTAAGTGAATGTTATTTCATCCAATAACAATTGCATTCTATATAGAAGAGGAATCTGAAGCTATCAACTCTTTAGCTACTATGATTAGGCAAAGAATGCAAATCATTTTTATCAAAAGTTTGTGCTTGGATCAAGCCAAACATAAAATTTACATTTTACATTTAGTTCTTGTTGCTCTCAGTGTCACACAGAAAGGAATATTCAAGCAACACTCAGGTGTTATTTTGTCACTTGAGAATAGAAGCACTCATTTTGCAATTAGAAATCTGCTGGTAGCTGGGTGCATTCTCTTTATGCCTTGGTGAGACAAGGAGCAACCACTACCAGTACTTGAATGGCTCCTTTGTTTAAGCCTGTGAGGCAGCAGGTAATGTTAAGGCAGTTATGGCCTGGCTTTGAGTCTGTCCTCATAGGCAAACCTCAGGAAGTATGGACTGGATGAGTGGACACTGAGGTGGATTCGGAACTGGCTGAACAACAGATACCAAAGACTCATAATCATGGCACAGGGTCTAGCTGGAGGTCTGTCACTGGTGTTGTCTATCAGGGTTCAGTCTTGTTTAATTGGTTCATCAAGGACTTGGGTGAAGGAGCAGAGACCTCCTCAGCAGATTCCCTACAACGCAAAGTCTGGCAGGAGCAACCAATACCCCAGAGGGCTGTGCACCCTTTCAGAGGGACCATGACAGGTTTGAGAGATGGGCAGAGAACTGTCTGAAACTCAGCAGAGGAAAGTACAGAGTCCTGCACCTGGGGAGGAATAACCATAGGGGACAACTTGCTGGAAAGCAGCTCTTTGGAGAAGGACCAGCAGATCCTGATGAGCCAGGTGGGCTCCACCATGAGCCAGCAGCGCCCTTGTGGGCAAGAAGGCCAATGGTGTCCTGGGGTGCATTAGGAAAAGCATGGTCAGCTGGGTGAAGCGAGTTATCTTGCCCTTCTACTCAGCCCTGGTGTGGCCACATCTGGAGTTCTGTGCCCAGTTCTGGGCTCCTCAGTACAGGAGGGACATGGAGGTTCTGGAGCAGGTCCAGTGGAGAGCAAGAATGACTAAGGGATTGGAGCATCTCTTTTACAAGGCTGAGGGAGCTGGGCCTGTTTAGCCTTGAGAAAAGTTAACTGGGAGGAGACCTCATCACTGTCTATCAGTATCTAAACAGCGGTGTTGAGATTTCCAGGCCCTTCCCACTGGTGCCAAGCAATAGGACAAGAAGCAATGGGCAGAAACTGATGCACAGGAAGTTCCACCTGAACATGAGGAAGAACTTCCTTACTGTGTGGGTGACTGAGCAATGGAAAAAATTGCCCAGGGAGGTTGCCGAATCTCCCTCAATGGAAGAAACTGCAATGTACAGGAATGATTCTGCTTGCAAAGGAAGGCTGAACCAGATAACCCATCCTACAATGTGGCTTCTAACTTCACTACAATTGTGTGAGTCTGTGAAGAAAGTAACTGAAGCACAAACATTCTTGAAGATCTCTCATGACGCCTTGAATTGTATCAAACACAGAATTAGAAACTGTTTAATCCAACTGCCACCCAACAATATTCATGCTGGATAGTGTCTGAATTTTAGATCATAAAAAGAGGGCCCAGTGAGAATGGATGTGGCTATAGAAGCCTCAAAATTGTTGTCGTAAAAATGATTCTTGGAATGTTCTTGATCTTGATATGTTCTTTTTTTATGTCTTTCCTGTTAGGTATTCCCTTTGTACTTACTTGTATTTGCTTTAGATATGTACTTTGGGTTTTGTACATATCAGTCCACAAGACTTACTGAACTAAATCTTAGAGTAAGGGAGAATGAGCAAACTTGTACTTCTTACTCCATGTGGAAGATAATTCTTAATGCCTGATGTTTTAATAAATTTATATATAAGAATGTTTTTCACCATATTACAGTAGTTGATTGACTTTTACCTCAGGTGTGTATTATATCATTTCACAGGGACTGCAAGGCCCTCCAGGACCTGTTGGACCCAGGGGACTGCCAGGAGAAGTTGTATGTATTGTGCCATTTCTCCAGCTGTAGCTGCGGTGCATGAGCAGTTAGCCAGTGAAGCAGTGCCACAGAACCTACCATAGCTGCTCTTTTTGTGGGTGGCAGTGTAGCTATCAAGTGTTGAAGCACAGTAGTATGGGATACCTCCCTCAACAGGCCATTATCTTGAGTTTCAGTACACCATCTATAATGTACTTCTGACAGTTTGACAGCCTGGAGTGGATATTGGGGTCACAGACATGAGAGCTTTTACCCTTCTTGATTGTCTCTCCCTTGTTCCCCTGTTAGTGTTATGTTCATTGGGTCCTGGCTTCCAGCCTGGAGCTTGGCTGGGATGGTTAAGCAAGAAGTTCTCTTGGTTTGTGTTGTGCATCTGCTCACAGTTACCATGCCCAAATGTTACTGGGCAAGGCTCCCAAAGATGCAGTGTGCTTGTGGGTGTGAAACTGGTGGGTTGGGAGTGCCAAGGAGTCGTACTTCTCAGCAGAGTTGGTATGTCCTGTAGTCATTGTCCTTTTGGGTGCCCCACATTCAGGTCTGCCAGCTGATTGGGCAAGGTGATGGGGAGACCCTCCTTCATGGGGATTTTAGTGCCCCTGTAACAATTATGCCACTGGGCAGCAGCCTGATGGGTCTCCTGGTTGTTTGGGATTTCTCAAACTGGTAGGCACATATGCCAAGATCCATCATGCTTGTAACCTTTGTGCCTCTGTGTAGACCAAGGGTAAAATGTCAATCCAGTCTGGATTCTCTAGGAAACATCTTAAACTATTAATCACAATTATATTAAACTTGAAAGTGCCCTGGGCATTTGATTTGACACCCACATGTAGCAGAAGCCTCTCCTGGGGCAGTGGCGGCCTGTCTCCCTTGCAAATTATGGCACCATCCCTCTTTCAGTCTGCCTAATTCCCTGTGTTTCAGTTCACAACAGTAGTGGCATCACATAACGTAACAAGTGGCACCTACCCCCTCTTCTTGGTTCTTGTACCTCCCTTCTTCCGTAAACCATAAAATGGTTTTTAAATAGCATTTTGGAGGTAAGAGTAGTTAGATCTGAGAAGTGGATCAAGAAAAGCAGACAATAAAAAGCTTAGCTTTAGCCTAGTAGCTCAGCCACTCACTTAAAATGTACTCGGATTTCGATCATTGCTCTGTGTGTGGTTTTGGTTTTTATCTTTTTCCTACCAGCAGGAGCATCTAGAAGCTGGTGTGCTGCATTTTGTCTTAGGACTTTCCATACATGCCCTGAGACTACATTGTGGAAGAAGATCATGTTTTGAACAGACTTTTAAGCCATATACCTATTAATATTAAAATACCCTTCTGAGTGGTACAGAATTAGCAGACCTTTTTTTGGTGACCTATTAAAAATCTTAGGGATATAAGCAGGGTGACAAGTAGCATACAACATCTTCAGCTCTTGACAAGGGAAAAAACACTAGTATTTAAATTTGCATGTAGTAATTTTATACTGTTACTTATTTTCCTACTCAGTTGAGGCATGTTTTTTTCAGTTGTGTCTGATTTACCTACTATCTACTGAAAAGTTTGTAAGCCTTATCTGCTGTGCTTCTTTTTATGTATAAATCACCAATCCTACTGTGAAAGATAACAAATACTCATTTCTCTCTTGCTTGTGTTGCCATCATCCCTCTTGAGTTCATAGTTGCTGCTTTTGATAGTGCTGTACTGATGGATCTTTGATCAAGAGAACATTATAAACAGACAAATACTAATTATATGTTAGTCCTACATCTAAATGATCCTGAAGACTCCTATCTGTGCACACACAGTTCTAGTATGTAAAAACATAAATTTAAATGTATTATAGAGACATTGTCTTTAGCTATAAGCTCCTTGGTTTTTTATCTTCTAAAGTTGAAACCGTATAGATTAAAAAATATAATAATTCATTTTATGTAGCATGACGACAATTATGAAAGTTTGAAAAATTGTTTTACATTATTTTACATCATCAAAGAGTCATCTAGCAGATAAGAATTACTTATTTTCCTAAGAAACCACTTGAGGTTGGTCCAACCAAAAAAAAATAATTTGGGAAATCCTTAGAAAAGAAGAGCGAGAAGAGAGGCTGTATGTATTTTATGCCAGTGTCAAAAGTGGATAGGGTAGGCCATGATCTTAGTAAGCATAAATTTTCATTTCCATAATGATTTTGTGTTGGTATAAGCAGAATATTCTTCATTAGGGTACTTTCTTTCTTATGCTTTTAGTTTGGATGACTGGGTGAAACGAGTAGCTGTCTGTATTAAGTACAGAATGCAGCAGAGAAAGCAAACACAGCTGCTGAGCATTCACTACTGGCACGAAAATGTTGTCATCTGTCATATGTCAATGTGCACAAAACTGTGTTTTACACTGAGAAGAAAAATTAAAACACTGTGTGTTTCCTTGTCTTTTTCTTAGGGAGTTCATTTTTCAGTCCAGCTTATGTTTCATACTTAGATTTTACTGTTCCGTTTCGGCAATTTTATAGTTGCTGTTAAAATTACTGGTATTCTTAACAAAATGCTTGACTAAATAGTTGGTTGAATAACATTGAAGGGTCATGGAAAAAGTTTTCTGTATTTGTTGCAGTATTGTGAGAGAACCCAATTAAGCCTTACTTGTTTAATAGTTTCTATTTAGATTTTAATATATTTAATTTATCTTCATTTCTCTGCATATATAAAAATCCTTCATGAAAAGGACAAGGGAAAATATGTTAAAATCAAAATGTGAAAGATGAGAAGATTTAGACAAAAGAGAGGCTAGAACATACTTTATTTACTGATAACGTTTGACTGTCTATTACATATCTAAAACATTTAAAGGGATTTGTTGGATTAACTATTGTGAAGGAGTAGGAATTAATTGAGGCTTTTAAGATACCAGTTTGAATAATTAACTAGTACAGAAAATCATGCAGCCCTCTATGGGCAAAAAAGATGACACTTACTTAAAATTCAAGTTTTTATGTGCTACTTCTTTCCTAGAAAAAACAGTTGATTTTCAAGACTTGGAACTACTTTGAAATAGAACAATTAAACCTTTTGGTCTCTGCCATTCTCCCATGATAGGGTCCAAAAATAATCTTGATTATTACAGTTTAATTTAAAGAAAAATGATTTATATATTTAAAGTAAGGAAGCATTCATTAACTTGCAGTCTTTAACATTTGGGATCAATACTAATGCACAATAAGCATTCCACTGGAAACTAATTTTCATCTGTATTTTTATATAACCATTAAGGGAGTAGCTATAAATATATAAATATATATAAATAGCTATATTTTTATTAATTCCAGGGCTTACCAGGAGATCCTGGGGTACCAGGAAACCCAGGAATTAAAGGAGACAAGGTATGTTTAAAGTTTTTTTCATTAAACTTGATATGTTAAAGCATTTTAAATTTTCACTTCAAGAGTAACCTTCCATTCTTCTGTAGTGCATTTGTGTGGCTGCTGTGTGAAATGATTTTAAAATGTACCAGCAGCAACCCCCTGTGTCTTGGAGAAGAAACATCTCTGCATTTGGAGATAGTTCAGGCCAGTTTGGCAACCCAGTTGCTCTTTAGATGAATAATTTAAGTAATATTTCAAGAGATTGGACTGTGTCCTTACATTAAATCTGTGCTGTGCAGAAATGTCACTTCAGGTCCTGACTACAGAACAACCTTTTCAGGGTAGTGTCCTACCCAGACTAATGTGTAAAATCTCACTTCACAGTCAGGCATCTTCTTCTTGGCAGAGCTCTAGGGCAGCTACACTGGCTCAGATGTAAGCTAGGGCGGGATCTCCTTAGGACATTGTATTTTGCTGTGTAGAAATCCCTTAGTTAGAATTCAGCTGCATCAGCAAGAGCTAAAAATTATGTGTCTATATACTGAATGTAAAGAAGGAGAAAAAAGAAGATATCCAGGTGTGCTCTGAGCTGTGTGATGTGTTGTGGTATTTATACGTTTTGAGGTACAAGGGAAACCAGTAAATTCCAGTCTGAAGAAGTGAGCTGAATGAAAGAAAGGCAAAGAAAATAACTGGAACAAGGACAAAAATGTACTTATATTGCAAAATGGTGATTCTGTGATTCAGAAAGAATCACAGAGTATGTTGCAGGAACCTGTAAGAGACAAGAGGACAGCATAACAAAAGGCACAATTTTACTGCATAAGTAGCAGAGTTTAGCGGGGGGGAGCAAGAGACACTGCATGTGTTGAAAGAACAGAGGTGTAAAGAGGAATACACTGAAGACCCCAGGTTTAGCACTAGTGGTTGATAGCTGGGGAGACACAGCTGTTGTTTCAGCTGTTGCTATGAATTAGTTGGCAGGGTTTAATGACAACGTGCATATTAGGAGCCTGGGGAACAAGAAATGTAGATGAGATGCATTGCAAGCATGGAAAACCAAGAGAATGCTAGTTATTATTAATGGTTATGTGATCCATGTCTCCAATTCTGTAACTTTTTGAAGGAAAATATGAGGGTATTTTTTCTTCTCTATATCTTCTCAAAGTACTGGCACAATCTATGATAAACTTGATAGTATTTAGAGTTTTTTTCATAGGGGAAAATTCTCACATTTCAATTAGTGATTCAAATTTATTTTGTAGGGTGACCCTGGTGGAATTATGGGACCACCTGGACATCCAGGTCCAAAAGGCGATATGGGGCCTCCCGGACCAAGTCTGCCTGGAACACCAGTAAGTCCATAATCTGAAAAGACCTTCCTGACTTCATTTTCTGCAGAGGAAACTCGGAAAGAATTCTCATTTTGCAATGAAAGAAATCACAGAATGGTTTGTGTTGGAAAATACTTTAAAGATCATCTAGTTCCAACCCCCTACTATAGGCAGGGACATCTCCCACTAGAGCAGGTTGCTCAAAGCCCCATCCAACCTGGCCTTGAACACTTCCAGAGATGGGGCATTCAAAACTTCTCTCAGCAGCCTGTTCCAGTGCCTCCACCCTCACTGTAAATAATTTCTTCCTAATACCTAATCTAAGCTTAGTCACTTCCAGTTTAAAGCCACAGAGCAAGTATTTTTTATTGTAATTTCAAAATCAAAATATATTTCACAGTGGTATTATAAGTGCACTAAAATACAGAAATAGTGTAAGTCTACTAGTCTATTATTGTAGTCTAGAAATAGTATAAGTATCACATATGATCCTAGTGATACTGGCACTAACAAGAAGGATATGTACACTTGTCATAGTTTATTTCTAAAGGCTGGCTAATTTTAGCCATTAAATTCATCTAGTATCTTGGATTTCAAAACATAATTTGTCGTTTTTTTCTTGGTTTTTTCGTGTTTTGTTTTGGATTTCTTTTAGGGTCCAACTGGTGTTCCTGGAAACCCAGGTCCAAGAGGGCCAAAGGTATGCCAAATGCATTATTTCTGTTTCTAAAAATATTTTAAAAGATAATATGATAGTTTACATTTTCAGAGCTGTTGTGATGGAAAGCCTTCTACTTTTCACAGGGAGAAAGAGGACTACCTGGTGTACAGGGAGCACCTGGGGAGATGGGGCCTCCTGGAATAGGCATTCAAGGATCACCAGTAAGTAAACCAACACCCAGAATTTGGGCTTCTCACTGTTCATCCCTGAGGAACTGCAGTAGGCAAACAGAGCATCATGAAAAGCCATGAACTCCATCTGGCCTGTCTCCCAGCTCCCAGATTGCTCCAAGGGTTGCTGGGCTGTTTAAATTCAAACATGTAGCAAGTTGACACAGACATCCAAAGGATTCATAGTAAATAATTTGTACAGCAGTAATTGTTTCAGTAATTCAGCTTGTTTCCTGAGTTTCTTTCTTTTTAATGCCTTTAAATAAATACACCAGCAGTGCCTTCAAAGTATTCAATAGAAAAATTTGCTGATGTTGATGGTGTGCCTGGTGGGTGGTACATACTACTGCAGGAGTTTACTCCAGTGACTGAGGCAGTCTCCCTTCATTCAACCAATGTGTATTCAGTTTATGGACAGTGCTCTGGTATAAAAAAGGAAATATTTGTGAAGGGTGACTAGGTATTCACCCTGAATGTATTAATCTAAAATAATAATGCTTAGAGATAATTTTTTCTGTTACAATATTTTCAAATGTGAATTTTAAAAATTACCCATTTATACCTAAATTATCTGGTTTTATTCAAGTGCTGATCAGATTTTCTAGTGAATCTTCTTGCTAAATACCAAGTTTCACCATAGATCAATAATTTTTGGAAATGCTTGCCCTAAAAATGGGCATTCACAAAGTCCAGAGGTCTCTAATTCTGGCAAAATTATGTGTGGATTTAAAGACAAACGATAAAGCAAGACTTTCTCAAAGTGAAAACTGCATAAATATCCTACATTCAGCATTTTTTAATGAAGTTCATCTCCCTTATCCCAGAAAGTGTAGCTAATGATTATTTGGAGTTTTCTTGCAGGGTCCTATAGGTCCAACTGGATCAGCAGGTGTGCAGGTAGGGTATAAGTTTTCTCTTTAATACAAAAAGCATTAATTTAGTTTAAGAATTTTGCAGGAAAAGTATTTTTATATCCTAAATGACCTTTTGTGCTATTAGGGCCCTAGGGGACCTCCAGGATTGCCAGGAGCTCCAGGTACTCCTGGTATTAATGTAAGTAACAGTTTTATGTATATACAAGAAAAAGTAACGTGTACCTCATCAATGATTTAAGGCCATCAAGTTTTACATTTGTTTCTAGGGCTCTCCAGGAAGAGATGGAAAGCCAGGACTACCAGGCCCTCCAGGTGATCCTGTACGTATGCAGGGAAAACTTTTGCGTTTGCTTTGGTGCAAATATATTAAATTTATGTGAGGTGAGATAGCATATCAAGCCTATAAGAACCAGTGATATGAAGATAAAGTAAAAATACTTACTTGGGAAAGACAGGAAAACAGCCATGTTATGTACTTGGCCTTAATAAAACTGAGACTGTCTTCATGATGTTTCTTTAACAAGAAAAAATGCTTAAAATTTTATTTTCAAACTTGGAAAGAGAGGTCTCTCCCAAGCTCAGTTCTTGTCAGTGATTTAATTTGATTTGGGTAAGTTGATAAAACTCTGCAAATGGAGTGGGAAAGATTGCTTGCTTTTTGAAGATGTAATCAAAATTCAGAGGATGTCTGAAGTCAACAAGATTTAACTTGAGACAGATGAGGATAAAGTGCTTAATAAGGAAAACCAAAATCCATAAGTAGAATAAGTCTGGAAGGCACAGCACATTGTAAACTAAATGGAAGTAAAATATTTGATGCTGCTATTAAACAGACAGGTCTAAATGTTAAAACTCACAAACAGGGTAATTATTGCCTTTTGCTCTCTTGAAATACTCTTCTCTTTGGAAAGAACATTTTTTCCAGGAAGATGTAGCAAGCAGGAGTGAATCTGGAGAATTAAGGCTGTTTTAACACTTTCAAAATCCCGGCATAAATCATACACTTATTCAGAGAGCAGCACACAGATGTGTGGCTCTGCAGAGTGTGTTTGCAGTCAGGCTGGACTTGCCTTGCACTCAAGCAGGGGAGCTGCATGGCACACAGCTGGCTTGCTCTCGTACATGTGTGCCCTTTGCAGCTGGGGTTCCACACTGAGGGTTCAGGGTTCTTTGCCATACATTGATAGAACAGCTAAAATAAGAACATTAGAAAAGAGGAGAGACTGGGAAAATTACAGTTCTAGTCCAGTAGGAAGACCAACAGGTGATAAGGTAATAGCCTACCTAGCTGAAAAATATCATAAGGAGAAGGGTGAAAAGTCAGGCCATGTAGGTTTTTTGGTTGGGATCTTGTCACAGGTTTTTAAGAGCAGCTGATCCTGTCTATGTACAGTTTACCTCTGTGAGAGGATGGACTCACACCTTACATAACTCTGTCCTCAAGTTGTGCCAGGTGGTGTTGTCTCACCCTAAAAAACAACTGGGCATGCTTTCAAGGGTGGTTGTGCCACCTTATTGATGGTGTTCTGATTATATTTCTGGTTAATTATATTCAGCAGTGCATCTCTTGAGCTGATCTTTGACACTCGTTATTATCTGGCAGTCTTTGGTTAAAAAAAGTGCTTAAATTTTATTTTTCTTCTTCAAGATGGAAAGAATTGAAACAGGGTGAACAAAAAAGTTACCTTATTTTGAATGTCAAATTTTATAGTATGCCCAGGATTTATATGATTTTATATTTAGCAATTGCCAGACAAAATGAGAATTAGTAATTGGAGAGTCTGTGAATTAAGTTGATGACAACCAGGGCAATGAGTTTTTAACGGGGAGTCTTTAAATATAAATTTAATGGCAGGTCTTGGAAGTCTGGGATCTGTTTCAGTACAGTATAGATCCACTGACTGATCTTTAAATGGCTCAGCTTTAGTATTGGTAGCAGCTTAGTGGTGACACCAAGGAGTTATGCACTAATTATTAATATTTAAAGGCAGGTAAAAATACTACATATGTTGCTCTTGTTGCTGTAACTGGATTATTTCCAGTATCTGAGCTAATTTATTGAAGTTAGCTTTGGCATCTCCAGAATTTGTGCTACAGTTACCAGTAGAGTCAAAGTCTAGGAGAAAGGAGGAAGAAAATAATTGAAGATTATCAGGTAAGAATACAAGAAATTCAAGTAGCATTAAGCTGTCACTGATGTGCTACAAAAACAATAATAGTATGTTCAGAACTTATGCTGTTGTCATGGTTTGAGACATTTCATTGCATTTATAGTTAAGAATTACAATAGATAGGTTGGATAGGCTGTGATATTTAACTATATCTGAAAACCATTTTTTTCTTTTGAGTTTTCATTAAAAAGTAGATTGAATCAACATATATATATATAATCAGCTCTATGTGTAGTAATATAAAGTTTAGAAGCAATGAAAACACATCAAAATTAGTAGTGTTTTGTAAAATATTAACTGCAGATGCCTTTGTTAATTTCAGGTTGCACTTCCACTTGTGGGAGATATGGGTGCTATACTGAAGGTAAATTTTTCAGAGATTAAATGGGGTTTTTTTGCTATAAACATGCTTTTTAAACAAACGTGCACTTGAGAGCTTCTGTAGGTTCAGTTCTGACTTACAGGGCTAGCTTAAAATAGTATTGTGAATTTTTTTTTTTGTTTTCTTTTAAAAAATACTCAAGAAATGTATTTTACAGAAATTTTACAAAAAAGTGTTCGAACAGCAAGTGAGGTAGTAGCCAGCAGGTGCCTGTTCAGCACATTCATCCCACAGTAATTGCTACAAATATACCCAGTTCTCAACTTTACTTTGTAGCATTAATTTCAGTAATACACCTAATGGGGGAATAGTATAGAATTTCTAAGATATTATTTTGAAAAATAATGAAATTTGGAGGGTTCTGCAATATTCTGAAATGAAAATTGTGCTCAGGAGTATTCCAATATGAAAAGCACACATAATGTCTACTGTCCTTTATTAATACATATACTTAGGGTTTATTGACTTTCTCATTTCCAAATCTGATTTATTTTAGGTCTTTCTTTTTGTTTGTAATTGTACTAGTTTTTCTGCTGTACATGCTCTTCTTGTCAGGGCTCTCTCTCTTGCTGCTTCTTTATGCCTCATTCTTCATTTCTCAGTTAGCACTTCTATATGACTGCAATTTAGCTGGCAAATGCTTCTCTCAGCAATGCAGGGGTCATTTACTTTTAAATAACTACAGATTTGAAGCTGGGGAGAGTAACAAGTAGCCTTCATCGCTAACTAATCCTTGAAAGGAAGATGCTCAAACCTAAACACAGGTGTGTCTGGGACTATCCAAAGTAAAGCTAAAAATGTGTTAGTGTGATTTGAGTAGAGAGTGTGAGATGGGGAGGAAAACAAGGGAGTCTCTCTGAACAAGGATATGGTTCAGAAAAGAGCAAGGACTGAAGAGAAGCTTTGGGGTAAAATGGAGGCCTAGTCAGAAAGGCAGGAAGGAAACAGTGTGCATAGATTGGTCTGCATGGATCAGATCTGTGTCATAAAGATATTTATTTGTCACTTTGTCTTCTGTCTGCTCCACAGGGTGATCCTGGCACAAGAGGTCCTCCAGGCATTCCTGGCAGAGAAGGACCAAAAGTAAGTCTTGAAGAGTGTACTTTTCATTGCTTTGTTTCTTGTTAAAAGCAAAAAGACAGATTCTTACCTTTGCGAGCCTTGACTTTTTTGTCTCATCCATATCCCTGTGGCATTGGACAACCTAAAAGCCTAAAAGTGCAAATGATTTTTATGTTTCAAGCCTCTTCATGTGTCAGTTTGCCTTTTGTCTAGGTTGAGTGGGCAAAATAGCCTGAGTTGAGTCCCAGGCCCAGATAGCTTTTCTGTGTCACGCCTGCATTAAAGCTGTCTCAGATCTGACTGCCCAGCAGTGCTTTGCTATCTGTAGACTCATTTTAGGTGAGTCAGTCACAGAGAATTCTGCAGTGAAGAGGCAAACTTCTCATGTGTCCCTCAAGTGTGCAGCACAGCTGAGCACCCTGTGCCTTTGCACCCTGCTCCCATGGAAGCAGCACAGCCATTTCCCTGGGACTTGAAGTGTCACTGACATCAATCAAAATCCCACTTCATTGGAATCAGATAAAAAGCCACATGGTTTGAGATACAGATATCTCCCACCATCGGGACTAATTCCACAGAAGTCAACTTTCTCCATTTCAGCAAGCATTCAAACTCCTTGGTGTTAATGTCTCCATCTTAAGGTCTCGAGTATTTTGCCTCCTAGGAACAAACCACTCATTTCCTTTCACCTTGCTGGGAGGTTTATTTGAAATCTTTCAGATAGTTTTGAGCCTCTGCTTTAATGTTTTAGGCACTATGGCTGTAAGGGCATCATGCTAGCATTTATTGAATGCATATAAAGTACCCTACAAGCATGAAATTCATTGTTCTCTAATAGAAAATATTTGTTTTGAATGTTATGTTTTCATAGGGAAGCAAAGGTGAACGTGGATTTCCTGGGCTTGTGGGGGAAAAGGGTGATGAGGTAAAATTTCTTCATTTCTACATTCTTATCTGAATCTGTGTAAAGGCCTAGACTGAAAATGAAATGCACAGAATGTTATTTAGGTCTTTAAAACTGCTGAGATAGTAATGTAGGGCTATAAATAGCCCTTGATTCTGATTTTTCAATAGGATTGAATATTATAATTCAGTTAAATAACATCAATTTGATTTTCATTAGTGAATTTTTGCTCATTTGTATATTTTAAATTCTGACATACATTTAAGTGCTAATCTTTAAGGATATAGGATACAGCAATAAATAAGCTAATGCCAAATATTTTCAGAAGATACTTCGTGTCTATAACATATTTGCTTTCATTTTGTTAGTTCCCCTTTAGAATTCACTTTTGAAAACTTTCCATTAAGCAAATAATCTGATGGGAACAGTAATAGCAGCAACAACTATTCAATGGAAACTGAAAAATATTTGAATAGGCTGAATTTAAAGTATTTACAATATTTTGCATCTTTTATTACATTCTTAGAGTTATTTTTATGTCTTTATAGAGAAGAGAAAAAAAGCCAAGTGACTTGTGGTGCCAAATCCAAAATAGCTGCTATAGCTTTATTTTCAACTGAAATATTTGCAGTTAACAATTCAAGAGTGATATCAGTGAAAAAAAAAAAAAAAAAAAAAAATCACCACAGCAGAAGCTATTAAGTAAATTAATCTGGATAAATTAATGTATTTCTTAGTGGCCTTAGCCAACTGAGGAGTTAAAATAAGTAGTCCATTTAAAAGTATGTGGTGAGCATTTTGAAACTCCAAAATACTTAACTGGGATTAAAAACATGCTACTCTCTTTTAATTTAAGAGTGATGGTTACAAGACACAGCACCTAGAAAATACAAAAGGAATTTAGAGTGTATTTATTGAAGGGTTTGTAATTCTTTATAAGCTTTTCACATTTCTTCGGCACTAAGGCCATGATAACTTTAGAATTTTTAAAGAGTAATAGAATAAGATAATAGCTTTCCCAAAAAAAGGATCCTTGGCTTACAAAACTACACTTATATGTGGAAATAAAAGATGCAGCTCCTGCTACTGTTTTGCCCCACAATGTAGCATGTTGTCAGTCTAAAGTATCATGCTTATTTTTTCTTTGGTTTTGTGTGATATATAGAGCACATTACATATATATTTTACATATATATTACATATATATTTGGGTTTACATTATATATAGAGCTCATACCTTATGTGCCTCCTGAGGCAGAATTCAGAACATATTCCCTAAAAGGATGGGACAGCTAAAAGCAAATTTTATTCAGAATTTTACTTTAAAATAAATGGGAAAGTAACACATACTTTGTGTGCGATATGGGATATCTCTAGCAGTCAGCCCTAGGAGAAATGAGGCATTAACAAAACAATTTTGACAATTCAAATACTATTAAACATAAATAAGATATTGCAGGGAATTAAGAAGGTAATAAGGTAACAGCAAGTTTATGACTGGCAGATTTTTTAAAGGAGTCTAGAGATAATTCATTGTATATTTTTCATTAATGCTGTGTTAATAAGTTCATTATTCATATGTTTCTTCACCTTTTGAGAGCTGGTGAACTGCCTTAGCTGTGATATTTTCAGTGTTTTGCAGCAGCTTTTGATAATGACATGGTGAAGGTGCAAGTGAATCTTTTTTTCAGAAACATGTATGAAAACATTTTAAAAGCAACTTCTTTAACAAATTTCAATATTTTTATTTTGATAATTTTTTTAGAATGGGGAGAAATGGGAAGAAAGACAGAGAAGACTACCTGAAGCCCTTTGAAATATGCTCATTAACTTCCATATGCTCTCCAATCGCCCTTTAATCTTTGTTGAACTTGTTATCTTCATTTTCAAAGCACTTTTTTTTTCAGGGGAGGTTTTTTCATGTCAGTAGTAAGAATTATAGAAGATATTCCTTTGGTTTCATATTAAATTTTCATATAAATCTACCATCAGAGTAAAGGAGTTCAAAAGGAACAGAGAGCACATTAGCAGTTACCTTGCCACTTTGAAAAGCTGCAGAGGTGGATCAATGTTTTCTGTGTGTAGGAGCAAGAAAGAAAAATCAATGTCTCTCCATCTCTACATTTATGCTGATTTATTTCTCTCCAAAGTTTTGCCCTCAGTTTCTCCCTGAGAGCACCAATTTCAGGGTTCCTGACCTCTGTGGCTTTCTAGGCTGCATGGAATGGCTCCTTAGCCATTTCTTCTTAACTATTGCATTTCAAATGAGAAATACGCCTTTTTCTAAGGGGATTTTTCTTGTCGGAGGATGGACAGATGAAATTAATCATTGCTTGGAAGAATCTATTTCTCTTTGTGGATTATAGGGAGAACCAGGAGTGTTAGCTCTCATTAGTGCATCACTTTTGCATGTCTAAAATTGCACTTGAACCTGGTGTGGCAGAGGAAGGGTGCTCAGTGACATACAGGCTTGTCTCAAATCCCACCTCTGTCTGCTGTAGTGAGTTGCACAACTGTGTGTTTAGTAAGTGGATACTGGAATCCATTGATTTTCAGACAATCAAATAGAATGCAAGCAGGAAAGTGGATCATTAAATGCTATGTAAAATGTCATGTTCAATTACCAAAAAGCCAAACCAAAAATAAGGCAGAAAGTACCATTTCATTTAGCATAGCATCAGGTAATATTGATAAGCCTGATTAAACGTCTTAGGAAAAAAAAGAAGGAAAAAAGCCTTTTATTAAAAGAAAATAGAAAATTAATCTCTAAGGAAAAGCTTGAAATGTGTTCCTATCTGCACAACTAAAGACAAAACTATTTACAAAATACAGGTTAAAAATGTGAAAGGTTGAATGACAAATGGTGTTTATCACTCAAGAAAGAAGTTGCCTCTAACCTGGTTCACTGATAACTGATAACCTCTTCCTTACCTGGTGAGGTGGTTGTTTTTTTTTTTTTTGCTATTATTAAAAATAATGCCTACATTTTAGAAGGAAATGCACTGTAATGCGGGTAAAGTACTGCTGGACATGCTGAATATAAGTATTTTTGAAGTATAAGTGGGAGAGGAACTAGACATATGCTCTTTTAATCTCTAGGGTCTTCAAGGTGCTCCTGGACTACCAGGTATATCAGGACCCAGTGGCCCATCTGTAAGTGTGTGGTATCACCTGTGATCTAATTTAGTTCTGTAGGGCTTGCTATAACTGCCTAGATCTAGTCCTTTCTTTTATCTTTTAGGAGAGTAATAATAAATTCCTACCCATTCTGGCTCTACTGTAGTAAACTATACTGCTGTTGATGTTACTGAAAATACCATAATTGTCTGGGCTCAAAGTTTATGGAACTTAAATAGATTTGAAGTTTTGACATTACTAGAGAATCTGTGAAGTTACATGATATATGATGTGCAAACTTGCAGTGAAATGTGTGTTTTTACCCAAGTTAGAGTCGTCTAAGTAATAAAATCTAAAAATAATTCCAGCCAGTCATTCTGGAAAAAAACAGTGCAAAACCAAAGTAATTACTTGGTTTCACAATTCAAAACCAAAGAATGAGAAAAAGCTAACAATATTTAAAGACACTGAAATATATCATTAAAATTGTTGGTATTACTGAGAGAGGTCCTCTTTGAAATGTTTTCAAATATTCTTTTCTACATATGGGAATTACATTAGTTAGTACGATCATTATCTGTTCCTCGGTTTCATGACAATACTAATACTTCTTTCAAAAATTGTAGCACATTTAAGAAGTTTAATGTGGAATACATAAATTGGCATTTAGCAGTAAAATGTGATTCTCGGGTGGATCAAGATGTGCTAGTTAGGGGTCACCACATTTAATTTGCCAAGGTGAAAATGCAACAGTGAACACGAGTTTTACCCTTCAAAGGACTTGTTAGGAAGACACAGCTGTTGTATCAAAGAGAAGAGAAATATTTAAACCTGAAGGAGAACTATAATTAGGCACCAAAAAGCATGTTTTAAGAACTTAGTGACACTGCAAAAATATTGTGTGTCATTTTTTTCCTAACTTATACAAACAATTCTGTGTTGTGCAGGGAGTCCCAGGAAGACCTGGACATCCCGGTCCAGCTGGAGCAAAAGGAGAAAAGGTATTCTTTCTTTTTATTCTTGCTAGAGGTCTGTGAAGGTTTTGCAATCCCATTACACTGTGTTTTGGGGGTCTTTTAAATAAGTGCAAGAGTGTAACAAGAATGTGGCACACATTTCAGATTTTGATTTGTGTTTCACTGCAAGTACTTTCCCTAAGCAGTGCTCTGCATATGGGCTTATGTTTTTAATTGCAGCCCCTGTGGTATATTTAAGTTGCAGAGAATTTTCTTTAGGCATAACACATTATGTAAGGTTTAAGAAAGTGAAAATATGTTTCTGACATAGCATATGACTAGTGACTTCTTGCTGTGCTTCCCATTCTTTTACCAATATTATATTCAAAAGTAGTTGTACAAGCACTGAAAGTTATTGGGTGTTAGTTAATCTGAAAAAATATGTAAGATTCCTTTATACTTAATTTAAGCTCTCTTAGCACTACGTTTTTTCAAAATTTTATGTGTTCTTTTATCAGGAGCTTGATATTATCCATTATAACTAAGAGGTCAAATTCATTTCTTGGATACCTCAGATCAGAGCAATATAGCAGAGACAAACTGCTGCAAAATACTTTCTGGGACAAGTTTTACATTTCATGTATGAATATAGCTTTTCTTTCAGTAGTACTCTGGAATTTTCCAGGCATAGCACTGCCACATCCACACGTGGGATCCTAATTCCCTACCAAACTTTTATATGAGTAAGAAAGAAAACTATTTTGTAAAGCTCTGAAATTATTTCAGTATAAAATTTGAATGAGAGTTGTCTCCTTGCAGATCACAGTAACAAAAATTTACCTCACTTATTTCCTTTTTATCTAACTGAATGCAAAACACAAAACTTTGATAGTTCCTTGTTCACAATTCACATACAAGTGGGAATGAGAAGCCCCTGCTCTGCAGCTCATGTTTCATCATTCTAAAAGTGCAAAAGTCACATGGCTGAAGAGTAATGAAGTAAACTGAAATAAAGCCCCAGTAAATTTCTCCTCCGTCCTTCATCTGGGACACGCTTGAGAATTGATCACATAATGTGCTTTCTAAAATAATAGGACTTTAATTCCCCATTAAGCTCTTCAAATCACTCTTGGGAGGCTGACAATTTCTAACAATTTGCAGGGCCATTTGGAAATTATCCTAGTATAAATGTTTAGTAAGAACTATATTTTTCTGCTGAGCTAATTATTGGCATTGAGCACTTAGCTTGATTTTTACCACCTTAGAAATTTTAGATTTGTGACTTAAGTGTATCACTGGCATACATTAAATAAGATCCAACAAAGCCAGTGAAAAATTCTGACAGACTTGTTCCAAATTATACAGTGTGTTTATCTGAATTGTAGTGATGAGATTTTGAAAATATATTTGGGAAATTCTATGTTGAAACCTTTGCAGCTCTCTACTATCCACAGACCCCGTGATTCTGCTGGAGAAAAGTCTCAGCAGCTATGCTCTATTTAATATAGGCAATTCAGTACACAACAGCAGAACAGGCCAGAGATACAGGTAACAATAGATGAATATTTTACAGCAAAAAGCCAAAAATATATTCATTTTATCTCTTAATAAGGAACATTCTTTTAAAAACTCTTTATTTATATTCAATATGTTTCTAAGTAAACTGAATTTCTGGAATTGTAGCTCTTCTTTATTTACATATGAATGATCAACTGAGGACTGGCTTTTGTAAAATAATATACAAAGCATAAAATGAATATTAACTTTTATCTGCCAGTTCCTTAGAAATTAATATTAACAACTTTTTTTTTTTTTTTCTTCCTCTCCCTCCTGGTACATATGAAATGTTTCCCAACCCAGGTTACCACTGTTAGTTTGCCATAAGGAAGTTACTACACATAAAGCAGCAAGTAACTAATAAAATAAAAACTAGTAAAAAGTAATTATTTATGCCTTCCCTAAAGCTAAAGCAGGAACATTGCAGGAGCATTTGTTCTTGATATTACCTGCTCTTATTGACTGTATCTCTTGTTTATTGTCATTGTGGTCATCATAGCTTGAGTGTGGAATAGATGTGGCCAGTTACAGTAAATGAGTTACATCAATCTCTTGCTGTACTAGGGTAGTGAAGGTTCTCCTGGGAAACCTGGACCACCTGGGCCTCCGGTGAGACATTTTGTTTTATATCTTGAGTTTATATTAGGAACAATATGTTTGTGGGTAAAATGTAATGTAATATAAAGAACTGCGTGTTGGTCTAATAAAAATTATTATTGCAGGAAGGTAACAGTGTCCTTTTTCAAAAGGTTTCTGTACTCCATTTTTTTTTCTCATGATTCATCACTGTTAAGTTCATCACTGAGTAAGTTCATATCACTAAAACCCTCTAAGAAACCTGCTCAAATTAGTTAACCTTGGTATCCAATATTATTAGAGTAAAATTGACAGCTTGGATACCTGAGATCAGAGAACCTAGGGAATCTAGGCAAAGTCTGTGGAGCTCACTAGACTCTAAATTAAGTGGAACAGTACCTAACACCAAAATTTATTCTGGAGAATTATAATAATAAAAATCAAAATATGATGCACACTGATTTACAGGTTTCTTGGTTTATAATTTTTAAAAAAGTACCAAACTGTATTGGTGTGTATCTTATGTTCTTTGAGAATCTGGACTCTTTGGCAAATTGAGAGCAAAAAGGATACCACAGCTTTGCTGAACTACAGGACTTGAACAGGGCAATAGTTCTGCCTCTATAATTCATAAGTGACACTTACTTGATTTTTATGCTTTAAAGGGTATGCCTTACAATGAAAGAAATGGAATGAGCAGCTTATATAAACTGCAGGTATTTCTCTTTAATGTTAATTGCTTTTTTTCAATCTCCACCCAGTTTTAGCCCAACTCAACTTTTAAACTTGCTGTTACAGGGGGGAGTGAGTGTCGCGAGTTATCCAGGTCCACCAGGACCTCCGGTAAGTGCTACCAGAAATCTCATTTTTAGTAGCTAACGACATAGAAACAGAGGAGGGTTAGTTTGCATGGATTTTGATTTTATTTATGGAAGATTTAAATAATTATATGATTGTTATGTAGCATACATACTGTGATTTTATGTTTGCCAATCACTTTAGCCCATTTTGGAGACCAGCTTATTTTGATTAAATCATTTCATCCTAGCAAGTAAAGACTGCAGAAATGGTACATAATTTGGTATTGTACTCTTTAGTAAAAGTATTTTTATACTAAAAATTTGTGATACTGTATTTATAGTTCATGGAGGCATAGTTTTGAAAAGGTTTTGTAGTGAACAAAATTTGGTGCCAGAAATGAGAAGCTCAGGAATTCTGATCTGAGTTCTGTCACTGATTCACTACATGTAGCTACAGTGCAAGAAAATGTGTAAAACTAAGTATTTTATTGTGGAAGTAATACAGGGCTGGTGTCTTTTACACTGCATGCAACACCTTGCAACTGGACACTGTTGCTTTGGTTCTGTGGAACTAAAGATGTTGTGCATTTATTTAAATTCTCCTCCTTTTTAGCACCATAGGCAAGTTCTGTTTGGAGATGATTGTCTCTTTGGTAACCACAGTTATGGGCTGGCAATGAGCAACAGAGCTGTCTTTCTCTGTATTGCAGAACAGCAAAACAAACCCCAAAATATTACTAAGATTTTGTACTGAAATAATCAGCTAGGATTGGAATTAATAATGATTCTAAATGCACTGCATTAGCAAAGTATACTCATAATGCAGTCATTAAAAAACCCATCTTATCATGTAACTGTTATTTTTTAAATGTGGCTTGCTTTTTGGGTTTTTTTGCAGGGTCCAAAAGGGGATCCTGGAACAGTGGTATGTATTTATTTTTTTGTTTTGATAGAGAATTCCCCAAGTAGTTTGACACATCGTACTTCTGTAGGACAATAAGAAACCCAAACCTCTCAGCAGTGATAATAAAACATGGAGTTGTAAGAAGTTTTCTAAAACAGTTTAAAAATTTGTTTTCAAAAAAATTCACAGAGCTTCTTTTTTTGTTTCACCATAATACATCTTTCTGTACCCGCACCTAACTCTGTAATTCTGTATTACATCTTTCATCAAATTTAGACCATTGAGCCAAATACACACACAGAGAGCCTCTGGGAAAAGCTTAACTTGTAAATCAGTAAAATGAGGCATAACAAAATATGTCTACCTAAAAACTGATTAGCTGTTTTAGTAATCTCAAATTAAATAATCTGCTGTTGCTTGCCCTTCAACATTTCCCATGTTGAGCAAAGAAATTCTAATGTATGCAATCTTTTAATTAAAAAAATTTAAAACAGGGAGACCCAGGACCAATGGGATTACCAGGACTGGAAGGACTCCCAGGGGAAAAGGTAGGACTCTTAAAAAGATGGCATGATTTCTTAGTAGCCACTAGCTACAACTAAATGTTTTCTGAAGCCTTGTTGGGTTTATTTTTCGTGTGTAAGTTAATGTTTCTGTAAGAAAAATATTTGCATACTTATTTATATTTTCCTTTTTTTGCTTTAGCATGGGTGTAAATAATATACTCACCAAACACAAAATTTCAGTTTCTGCAAAGGGAAAATTTTTGTAGGAGGCCTTGTAATATTGTTGGTAGAATACTACTATATTTGATAGTAATATAGTTAGTGCATACACTGTCCTATGTATGTTTCCTGTTCCCTCTTTAATATCATCTTATGTTTGCAGTCTCTCTGTCTTGTTCTGAACCTTTTGCTTTCTAATTTTGGAGACTGTTTATGAATTTAAAGAAAAGCTTTTTATAAAAGGCTAAAAAAGTTTTGGTATTAATTTCAAAATATAGCAAAGTACAAAGCATTTAGCAGAGAAGTAAAAAAAATCTGTAAATAGGTTTTCTGTCAGCAAAATCATTTTGATTTTTGCCACGTCTTCTAATTTAGGAAGAAAAAAGAGTAAATTTTTTTGAAAATGAAATGTTTTTCAGCTTTTGGAATTATGCTATTAAATTACTTCATGCAAAAGTACTTTACTGAGACTTATTTTTTATCACAAAGAAATGTAAATTAAAAGTTTCCCTCTCAATATCACTGTGCATTCCTCCTGCTTTTTCAGTCAGTGACAAGATCTAAGGTAGTTATACTAGATGCTTAAATTACATGAAATTATTCTTGTTCTGGAATTCTACAATTTACAAGCTATTAAAGACTAGTCTGATTTTAAAATTAACAAGCACAGGGAGACATTACAGGTCTAAGAGAGACAAAGTGGGGACAGGAATTAAATAAAGGGAATAAGCAATGGATCAGATCATATAAACCAGCTGAGTGAGCGTTTGGCCTTCTCCCAAAGTAAAAATATTGTTACCATAACTAAATTTGGTCAGAATGTCACATTTGTGGTGCAAATAAGTGAACAGAATCTCAGAGCCTGACGGTCCAGCAGTATAGTGCATGCCAGATTTTAATTTAGAGCCATGATGCTCATATGTGTAGCAGAATACCATCTTCTACAGACAACACTGGCTGTAATTTCATGATAATTTCATGAACTGCCTTAAGAACTTCATGTCCTCTGGGTAAAATGTCCCCTCCCTCAGCTGTGCTGATGGTAGCTGGTGGAGCTGTGCTGCAAGCAAGACTGCTGAAAGGACCAGAATAATCCTGAAAAGAAAAAAAAAATGTTGCAAGGGTTAGGCAAAAAAATGTTAGGCATTTCTAGCTTCTAGGGGAAAACAAACAAACAAACAAACAAAAAACTAGCTTCATAGCCAGCATATAGAGAAAACACCACAAGTCCTGGGTCTGGAATAACCACTGGGGCAGAGTGCAGGCTCCAGACTGCGTGTCCTGCCTTCTGCAGTCACTCAGTGCTCCCAGACGCTGTTCCAGAGGCACTGGTTGTGTTCCTCACTGGGTGAGTGCTGCCAGCCTCCAGAGCAGGACAGGCTGAGCTCTGTCCTCTAAGCTGCTTCCTCCCAACACCAGGTCAGACATGCATCTTGTCATCTGTCACACTGTGTGTAAGGGAGTTAAGTGTTCCTAATCAACAGCAGTATCATTGTGTACCTGAACAAAATTATGAGGATGAGACTGTCGGAATCTGTGGGTATTGATGATTCTGAGATTGTAGAAAGTCTCTGTCTTTCTGCCCCGTTGCCAAAGAAGAAGTCATAATTCGTCTGTGCTGTTTTCAAGGTTGTTTATTCTTGCTTATCTCTAACATGTTCTGCTGTCCTGCCGCCGGTCTGTCCTGCAGGGCAGTGTGCGGGGCTCTGCCCCTCAGTGGGATGGTACAAACATTAAATACCAGAAACTACGTGTGCTATATTTACAATAATGTGCCAATATCTATCATCTACGTTGAACAATGTGTCCCCAGCCTAAACCAATAGAAAAATGCCAACACTACAGTGAAACATGGAGGGCATGAAGAAGTAGGAAAAGGACAAGACACACCCAATTCCCTCCATCTTGTCCCCTCTGAACCCCTAATCTAGAAACCTAAAATTTTACTTTTGCACCCGTGCCACACTTAATTATTACTCTTGTCAAACACTCAGAGCTTGTGATTCATCCTGTAAGATTGAAAACACTTTTCCATGGACAGAGATCAGAGACAGTGCCTCTCGGGGCTCTGTACAGGGGGGTTCCTGACCCCCTGCCAGGGTCCCAGGCCCTCCAGGGCAGACAGAGGGAAGCCCTGGATTCCCACATGAGACAAACCACCATTACTTATAAGAATAGAAACCAGAAATCCTAAAATTCTTGGGGCTTTTATGCAGAACACAATGTGGCTGTAGCAATGTTTACAGAGCTTTAGTACATCTGCTCCATAACCCATAACATAAACCCATCTCAGAAAAATACTGTTCTGTTAGTATGGCTTCAACAGTCCCTGGGGTTTTCTGCCATAAATTCAGAAAAGAGGAGCCTGATTTTTTGACATTTGTAACCAATGTTACAGTAACAGAGCATAGTGTTGCAGACCAGCACGTCAGCAGTGGGTAAATACTTCTGGGTAGAGTTTTACCACTTGTTGACCTCTATCTGTCTTCTTTGGATTACAGTGCTGTCAAGAAAGATGAATTTGTCCCTGTAACTTGTCGATTCCTGCCAAAAAAACAACACTGTCCTAGCTTAAAGCATAGATGAAGGTGGCTGTGTGCTATAAACGAGAACCCTTGCCCAGGGCCATAGTACAAGCAGAGGACATTGGCTTGTAGTAAATGGATAACTGGGTAGCAGGAAAGCAAAAACTTCTTTGAAAGGTACATCTTAAATATGGGTATGTTGATATGAAAGTGAATTACCCTGTGTAAATTTTGGTTATTGCCATGACCCCAAATTATAATTATTTGGAGAACTACAGGTAAGTCAGGGACTTTTTATCCCTTTTCAAGAGAGGTCTTGCGCAGAAACAAAGGGAAACATTACATGAGTGAACCTAAACAAAGGATTTTGGTTACTTGCTCAAGTCTGTATAATGAGCCAGTGGCACAGATAAATATTAGCATTTAGGCTGGCTTTTGTCCTCATTTTCAGTTCACTTCCTTGGGTTTTAATGGGAATCCAACAAGAAACTTCTGGTTTGATTTCTGTAGTTTAAACATAGATTTATCTTTTCTTTAGGGTGACCGTGGACCAGCTGGAGCACCGGGAGTGTCAGGGACACCGGTAGGTATATTCTTTAAAGAAAAGTCTGGTTTTAAAAGCTGAAAAAACAGGTCAAGAAGGGTGCTGAGCCGTAATCTCAGTCACCGTGGAACACCAGTGCTTGGCTTATGTTTTATTTGTAGGTATGAAGATTATGGGTTTTCTCTAAATAAAGTAGAGTTTTAATAGCAGCAAGGGTTCATATTACTATTAAAATTACAAGAGTGAGTGGAGTGAATACATGATAAATCTGGAATTCAAAGCTGCATAAGCTTAATTAAGAAATGTGAGACTCTTCTCATTGCCTCTGTTTAATATAGATAAAGACATTTTTTTTGTGTTCCTGGGCATGAACAAATTTCTGAGCATCTTTCTATCACAAAGAAAAATCATGAACATTAGTTCTTGCAGCCCACAGGGATCTGCATATCAATTCGATCAAACATTTGCTTTAGGGGACTGCTTTGTCAGCTATTTAGATATGATATCCAGAGAAGTTTCTGAAAGTCATAGAGGAACTTTGTTGTAGGTGAAAGTAAAAGTAACTAATAATAAATTGAAATTATAATTATTCCTGAAGGAAATGAAGATATTAGATTGCATTCACAGTTTAATAAAAAAGTTTATCCATATTTCAGGAGGCAATATGGAGTTGTTTATATGCAAATAGATTTATTATTAAATTTTGGCAACTACCAACACATTCAGGAGCTGTTTAAATTATAAATATGTGTTTCAGGAAATAAAGAGAAGTATGTGTCTGCACACTCCCATTTCCATTAGCCACTGATTTAGTCTATTTACTGTGAGTTCCAAGAGAGAACATAATCTTAAATAGCCTCATTTCATTGGGTTTTCCTAAATTGCACATTTAAGGGGGAAAATATTTCTCTGAGTTTTATAGAAGATGTAAGAATTTCAAAGTTTGTTGTTCTGAAACAGATTTTACACCGTTAATAATAACACTGTGCAGTTGTGCATGTCCTATGAATTTTCCACTGGCTATGTCCCAAGTTATTGGATGTTCTCTATTCAAGGTGTATACAAAATATTTAATGAGGACCCTTCTTCACTGATGGGGCTGCATTCTGTTGACTATATTTAGTTCTAATAAAATCCACTGAGATAAAATATTTTCCCCTGAAATAAATTATTTGTTTTCTATATATTTTATGCTAAGGAGTTTTAATCAACAAAATAATAGATATGTAAGACAAATTCTTTTCAGTAGTCTAGGAGGAGTTTGAGATATAGCTACATATCTTGCTGGGAAAGAATTTCTCTTCTGTACCTGTCATTATTCCCTGGAAAGAATAGTGGACCAATTTTCCCATATGGGAATATAAACCTCTTCTTTTCACTTCGGTGTTTTGATGAGATTTTCAGGGAAGCTTGGACTGAGATCCTACAAGCATTACCACCAATGCCTATTTCAACACAAACCCTCATTACTGCTGTTCCCAGTGTTGTCTCTGGTGCTGATGGGTTTGGTCTCACTTGTACAAGTCACCTGAGGATGTGCTCTAAGTATACTTTCAGGAAATGTAGGTTCAAGTTGTTATAAGAAGGGCATCCTACAAAGAACATTTAAAATCAGCATGATGTCATAAGAGAGGACTATGAATTCTGGCAGAGTGAACATAAAATGACAATAAAACTGGCCAAAAAAAGATCATGAAGAAAATTTGCAAAAGATGTTGAGTCAGTAGTAAAGTTATACACAAAAAAAAAAAAAAAAATTAAAATTCAGGACAAAAAATTACCTGAAGGAAAAAACATTGATTTTACATATACACTGAAAAACTTTGTTCTGACTATGACTTCTCAAGGTGGAAATCACGGCGTTGTAATAGAAAATCTCATAAAAGCATCTCAGTATTCATGAAGGGTAAACAAAACCAAGTGACTGAGTAACATTTTAACGCAAGAGCCTGTTCATTAAATATGACAAAAATCCGGTAAAATATTTCTTTTTTCTTTTTTAAAGCATTAATGAGCAACACCGTGAATATTTCTCTCATAGATATATATATATATATACTCTCTTATTTTTGATATAGGGAAAAATTTTACTTGGCTTCCTAATAATATGAATATGTAATATTCTCTTTTTTCAGGGAAAGCCTGGATCTCCTGGGTCCCCAGGGTTGCCAGGAGAACCTGTAAGTACAGATTTCAATTCTGGATTCTTACAATAGCAAACAAATATTTCAGACACCTGATGCAAGATTTTTCATGCAGATTTATATGTGTGTTTTCTTCTTTCTTAGGGTGAAAGAGGACCTATAGGAGATATAGGCTTCCCTGGTCCAGAAGGGCCACAAGGAAAACCAGTAAGCAATTTTATACTGAATATATATTTTGTTACAAAAATATATGTTTTAGTTTATCAGAAGTTACAAAAGAAAAGACATTACATCTTGCTTTATGTTAGAGTAGATAACATGTGAAGAACACACAGAGCTGCACTGCTCAGTATTAACCATCCAAAAAAGAATTCTTCATATTATGTTGCTTGAATAGTTAATGTTACTGAGATGTTGCCTTTAAAGGACTTGTGAAGGTCATTTGGATCTTGTTGACATAAAGTTTCCTCTTGTACTTTTTCCAGGGGGGTGAATGTGAACCCAGAGACTCAACACAGTCAGTAAAGGATGGGGTGACAGAATAGGTTCTCAGTTTCAGTTTAGATAGAGAAGGGTGTGCTTCATGGCTGAATAAACCTTGAGACTCTTCTGTATACAGGTGATGCAATACTGCAGCTGAGGCATTTACTGTTCACTTAGGAGATGTCTAATCTGCTCTCTTTATGCAATAAAAGTGTGACAGCAGTGTAGTCAGCACTGTCTGAGCTAGCTGAAAAAAACTAGTTTATATTCTCAAAGGGGTTCAGGAAGGGTAGTGCAGGACTCATTATCTCCCCTGAACCTTGGTGCTTTGGGGATGAGCATGAGCAGCAGACCTTCTCAGCTTGACAGCACATCTCAATGTTACACTTCTGCCTTGAAAGAAGACACAATTTCTGTAGCTACAACAGCAAATTAGCTCAATTAATCTGTGCAAAACTCCACTTTGGAGTATATGAGGAGAAAGAAATATTCCTGCTTCTCTGCTCATACAAGTCATCCTTTCTCACTCAATCAAACAGCTGTGAGTTTTCTACATGCGCAGATCCATAAATAGCCCACTAAATTAAACACTGCCAGAGCATTTATCTTGCAATTATCTGGCATTGTACAATTGTTAATATACTCTGCATTATTTTGGCCCATACCATCTAGGACTCTCAGATCATGCCACACTCCAGTCTGGAGTATAATGTGGGTCTGGAGCAGTTTCCAGCTATGAATGCAGCCACCTTCTTTGGGGAAGGAAATAGCTTTAACCCATGAGACCAAAACTGTGCCATACTACAAGTCCTAACAACCAAAGACTGAATCTGGATTTGTGATAGTAAGGCATAATCTCTGTAAGAGCAGAAGGGTAATTAAGCACCATGGCCAATATCTAGAATAAAAGGAATCTCTCCCATGGTTGTATTATGACTAACTGCTACTGAAAAAGTGCATGTGCATGTACACAAATATTCCAAATTTGCAAAATTTCCCTATAATTTGTCATTTAAAGTTCTATGATCATTATATTTGGTGCACATCTTGATGCTCTTTGTATTTCTATGTTGTAGCCACACAAATTGCTGCTTCTGCCGCTTCAGAACATTCACTGATACGGCACTAAACACTGAGCTTTGCCCTTTATACTTTAAAAACACGTAAACATATTAATTTTTTTTCTTAGGGAGTCAATGGAAAAGATGGATTGCCAGGTCCTCCGGTAAGAAAAAATGCTTTTGTGTATTTTATTCCTCACAGAAATCACAGCTGTTAATCCTAGGCAGTTGCTTTCCATTCTGCTAACACATGAATACACAACAAAGCTTTCAACTAATCAATTTATCTTTTTTCAAAAACTATTTTTCAGGGTGCTGTGGGGAGACCAGGAGACAGAGGACCCAAAGGAGAACGTGTAAGTCCCTATTATGATAATTTTTTCTCTTTTTACCAAGCATATAAACACCTCATCAGCACCTATCTTATTGGCAAAATCAAGAAATTAATTCTCTGTGAACTTTAAGCAGTCACCTAGACATCTAAGAGGCTTAGTTCTAGACACCTCTTCAAGGAATTAGAGTTTATTTGGCTTCTGCATTTAGAGGAAAACCACATTTTATAGACTTTCTAACACAGTTGGCCTGGACAGTGTAAATTGATCAATAGGCTGAAAATTGGAAAGCAGATAACCCAGTTGTGCTGTTGTCAGACTTTACAAAAGCTATGATCTTGCCCTTTCTATGTCACAAACACAAGCCATGTTTTATATAAAACAAGCTTGTCACACTTTGGCAGCAGGAATGACAGTGCAATGCCTGACTGCTTCCCAAACTCTTCAGACATTCGTGTTCATGGTAACAAGGTCATGGTGGGCAGGAATGATTATGGGAGGTGAGAGATGAGGTTATATCTATATTCATATATATATGGTCTTCTTATAACATTCCGAAAGTCTTGATGTCCTAATCACGTGGCTATCACATTTATTTGATGATTCAGAGAAGTATCTCCCCATTTAATCTGGAAAAGGAGATGCTGCTTTATGACACTGAAAAGACCATGAGGGTTTAACAGTTATTACAATTATCCCTTAAAAAATTAACTGTTTGCAATGTTCTGGTTTTGCCTTTAAGGACACATCTGTGGGAGAGATTGCAATGATTACAGAAAATAAAGTCAAGGTTTTCTTGCAGCCATTATTATTACTGCTGTACAGCATGCTCCTTCAGTTTGAGACAAGCTGTTGTAGTTACAGAAAAGAGTAGCATCAAAATTGGAAGGACAGAATAAAGCTCTCGAGGTTTTCTTGTCCTCGTAGAATCCATTTTAAGAAAGAGTAAGCCACCTGGGCTGAAATATATCCTTTGAGTGACTAAACATTGCTGTTATTACTACTTTATAAAATGAATGACAAACTAGTTGAAAACACGCTTTATACCAACCAGTTTTCTAGTGATTTCAACAGATATATATGCTTGCTCATTTTTTGGTGTTATCTGCATACCTTGATCACAGATTGTGAACCTGCTGGAGTAGAGCAAGTAGAAACACAGGAAAACAGCAGTTCTGTCTGGACAGAATTTGATACAAGATAAAATACAAGAGATAGGAGGACGCTAGAAAGGCAAAAGGCTGAATAAAGCAGCACCTTCGGCAGAGATCACAAAACACAAATGTTTTGTACAATTCATAGTGGAGAGTTTAAAGAGGAATCTAGAGGAATATATGACCTAGTTTATGAATTTTTACAAGGACCTTTTTCAAAACACAAAGAAAACACTGGAGGCAGTTAAAAATTGCTTGTTTGAAAAGTTGCTGTAGTATTTGATTTGCCTCCTACACACTGGCAGCCTGTAAAACGTGGCTGTTTAGAAGAAAAGGATCATCTTCACATTGGCATAGCACCATGATTCTAGAGAAACCTGCCTTTTTCTTTATCTCTGGTAGAAGAGCTATCTGTACCTACTCTGCAGGGTTATAAACCTGAGAACTTATATATCACAGAATCATGGAAAGGCCTGGGCTGAAAGATACTTTTAATCATCAAGTTCCAACCACCTTGCCATGGGCCTTTCATCAGACTGGGTTCCTCTAAGCCACATCCAACCTGGCCTTAATATATTTCCTGGGTTAGGGCATCCAAAGTTCTCTGGATAATTTGTTCCAGTGCCTCACCATCCTCATAGCAAAGAATTTCTTCCCAATATCTCATTTAAACTGACTCTTGTTCAGTCTGAAGCCATTAGCTTCTTATCCTGTCACTATATATCCTAAAGAAAAATTCTTCTCCAGCTTCCTCCTAGTATCTTTGGGTAGTGGAAATAACTTAGATTAACTATAATTTTGTGTAAATTAAGACATAAAATAGCAGGCTTCTAAGGAAAGTTACAGGAAATGTTGTGGTGTCTTTTGCCTGTGTGAATTTGAGCACCTGAATTATACCTATGCCATAATCGATATTTCTAGATCCTTGTATAAGGGCTAAAACCTTTCTATACTCAAGTTCTGTCCTTGAAAAGAGGATAGCACAGAGTCAAGCTATTCTTTTTGTAACCGACCTCAACATTAAAGGTGCAAGAAAACAAAAAATATTTTCAGAGATGAGGTTCAGCCTGGAAAGTCATCTTCCCTGCATGACTCAGTCTGTTTCTGAACAGGCAAGAATTTTCTCTTTAGCATTCTCAAGTGACTTTTCAGTCTTGTTCCACTATGTGCAATGGTTTTCTTTCTGCTTTTATTTTACACAGGGAGATCAGGGTATTCCAGGGGACAGAGGTCCGCAGGGTGAACGAGGGAAACCTGGCCCATCAGGAGAAAAGGGGGATGTGGGTCCTGTTGGCCCTCCAGGAGACAGAGGCTATCCAGGATCACCAGGTCATCAAGGTCCCCCAGGTTCACCAGGACCGCCAGGGTTTTCAGTAAGTAAATATAAATTTATCTTAGTTGCTTGTGGATTCAGTTATGAAGGTAACATGGGCTGAGCAGTGGAAATTCTACTGAGAAATAGCACAGTATTAGAAAAAACTATGGATTTCTCTCAGATAATTTCAGTGTTCATTTAAGGTGAAAAAAATAATACTCACATGATCAGGTAATTATTTTAAATTATTTTTTAAAACATTTGCTATGGATGATCTTTAATTATTTATTTCTTTAGTTCCTGCACATCAATATGGCTACTCAGTATAGTTAATTTTCATGTTTTCCATAAGATTAAGAGCTACAGTTTGAGACTTTTCAACTGGGAAAGAAAAGGAGGCAGCCAAAATTGATTCTCAATAGAAGAGAAATCAGCATTTAAAAAGACAATGAAATGCTGCTTGCCAGTTGTAGATATCTTTATTTGTCTGCATGAGCACACAGGCACACACATGCATGTTATGGGTTCTTTTTAACCTCAGTCAAGTAAGGTAAAGCTCTAAACGCTTTTCCAGTGAAGTTACTGGTGCCATGGTTCTGTTCTGGTCAGCAGTGCATCAGAACAAGTAGTCACCAGGGCATGTGAGAAGCTGGCAGATGCTATGCAAAAGTACAGCAGATTTTTGCCCCTGGACATCCTGTCTTGTTCCATAATCATCCTTGTCATCTTGGCAGCTGAGAGTGCTTCTCCCACTTCATGCCACTAGTGTCTTTACAATATTATAATGTATTTGCAGTAAAGTGGCCTTTCCAGTAAAATAAATAACACAATATATTAAAACACTTATCTGTTGGTGAAAGGTTTTTATTTTTAATGCTAATTTGAGCATTTCTTATTTTTGTAGCATCATAAAGTGTCCTCTGTATATTCCGCCTGATACATATCACTTTTCTTTTTCCTCATCAGGTTGATGCAATTTCACTTGAAGAAATAAAAAAATATATCAAACAAGAGGTTCTTAAGGTGTTTGAAGGTAAGAAAAGGAAATATTATACAACTAAATCTGAAATTCTGCTCTAAATTTCTTGACAGGCCATCTAACTTAGATTGCACTTAGCAAGTACCTTGTTGCTGTAGCAATGTTTAACAAGCCTACTTTACGTGATTCTGTTCAAACAATGAAAAGTTAGAGTATCTGTTAAACAGAGTATTTCCTTATGTGAAAGGTTAGCAGTGAAGGGTAATCTGCTCCAAATCATAATAGCAAACTATGCATCATTGTAGTTACATATATGTATCATACATTACTGCAGATAATGTTTATCTACAATACACCATTAAGATATTGAAATGTTACTGAAGCGCAGACCATAGATATACCTAAGTATTTTGCCCACTTAGTGACTGACTGTCTGAATAAAAGACAGGTCTGACAGCCTTCAGTTACATAGGTCTGAATTGCTGTGCAGTTTCCTCAGCAAATATCCCTGCTGAATTCCACAACACCCTGCCAGACCACCATCTTCTGGCACAGTTTTAGGCAAGCACCAGATTCAGCCAAGGCCTTTGTATTATGTAAGATTTCTTAGATGAGTCCTTACTCTGAAAAGGAAATATTTTTCTTCCCCAGCATTCCTTTAGTCATGGTAGAAAAGCTGTGACTCATATAGGTTTCTGAAACAAGATTCTTCTTGAACACCCCTTAACAGTAGCTGCTCTCCCATTGCAAAATGCATTTCTTATGTCCTCAATATGCTTTGTTATTCTCTCATTAATATTTGTGGACAAAAGCCATCTTTTAGAGATAAAAGAAATTTTATAAAGCTTGAGACTTCTTAACCTGTTCAGGCAGTTTTTCACTTTATAACGAAGCTATCATTTTGTGTATTGTCACCTTTCCCCAGGGTGCTACCCCTCAGAGTTTGACCTACTATGTATTTCAAGAGCAGCTTGTTGAGTGAAGTCACCTCCTTTTCCCATTCAAATAGAATGGTAACAAATATTTAGTCTATTCACAAAAAGAAAGCATTATAAGGTTCCCTGCCTACAGGGAATAAAATAGTTTTGTCTTTCTAGCTATCCCATTTTCTACACTTTGCTACTGTTCACACAGATTTTCCAGTTTTGGCATTGTTTCATTTTGTTTACTTTCTATCACCTTCCTCCTTTTTTGTTTTTTTCTTAAATCTTAAAACTCCACCACTGTAAATCCCTGCTAAATTTTTGAATGTTTAGGGGTTTAATCTGGTATAAATGAGACAGAGTCAAGGTTAGTACCTATTTTACCTACCTCCAAAGAACACTAAAATGTTACCAAGGGCACTTTATCCCACTATGAACGTTTCTGTTCTGAAATATCTGCAATTAATAATCTTTGCTGAGTGCTTTCAGGTTTTTTACAATTGTTTTTAGGGTTCCAGCACATTCCAAGAACAGTTCACGGTATTTAATCTCTACTTTGCAGTTTAATATGAGTTACAAATATATAAGATAGCCCTCCATCAGTTTCTTCAGTACTAATTATTCTGTCTATGTGTTTTAAGTACTCCCACGAATAGGAGTCAGAAGTAATTTGAAATATTGGAATATGTTAGTAATAGAGAGTAGTAATAGAAACTTTAATGCAATTTTTTTCTGATTATTTCAAAGGGTAAAGACTCAGACATGAATCTGAGTTGGAACCAAAGGTTTCAGTGCTTCTTGGAGCATTTAATACCTTGACATTAAGAAGAAATAAACACTCTACTTACAGAAACTTTAGCTGGGGCTTTGGGATTTTTTTCCCCCTTTTTTTGCTAGCAGTTGTCTTACCAGCTCTTTCTTGTGTTTAATGAAGAAAGGATGGCTCAATTTGTATCCCAGATGAAGCTGCCTGCTGCAATGCTTGCCTCCCAAGCTCATGGAAAACCAGGGCCCCCAGGAAAAGATGGGTCACCGGGACCACCAGGAAAGGATGGTTTGCCAGGCCCACCAGGAGAACGTGGAATTCAAGGTAGGGATTTCAAAATATGCTCCTTTTAGTGGTATCTTGAAATCTTTATACACTTGCTAATGTTTATTAAGTAAACCAGGATTACCTATCTAGCTTTCTAATGATTAACTTTTAAACTTATATACTTATGTTTTTCCAGACCACATCTAAATATTAACCCATAGTAAATGTGTGGATTTTACTGATTAAAAACTCCTAATCAGTGCATTTTATTCTAATCAGTTATAAAGTTAATTATTGACAGATACCTAAATCTGACAGAACTACTGTTGCAGTTATTTTTTTTCCACAAAATACTTGAATAAGGAAGAAAAACAATGCCAACGCTCTTGCTATTTAGATTCATCTTGATATTGAGAGGCCATCTTATTTAAGAAAGAAAATTTGATCTCCTAGTCTGACTGCTCTCAGCTCAGATCCTGAGAAAATACAGGCAGGAAAAACTGAAGAAAAATATTCTTCTTTAAGAAGCAGTGAAAACTGAAGTATTACTAAATGAATTCTTCTTATGGTGAAGGAACCTATTTTCATTTTAAAAAATCAAACTAATCAGTTTTTCGCTAACTTAAGGCATCTACTATACCCCAAACAGTAATTTATGCATTGCAATGCACCTGGACAGTATAGGACTCACATTTCTGTGAACTTTTACTGCAAAATTAGCTCTGAGAGATCCATATTCATTGTTGTTGTGCTCTACTGTAGAGCCAGCCTTTCAGAGATTAAAAGGAAGAGGAAAACAGACTAGAAGGAAAAAAGAATTTATAGATGAATAATATTTTGTGGGTGGGTAACATGTAATTTGCAGTTTATCTGTAGGTAGTTCTTTATTATCTTTTGTTAGTTTGGTCTGCTCTGGAATCAGAGCAAGTCAGACTGGAATGAAGAACATGCCAGAAAAGCTGAAGATGTGTGGATCCTAAAGCTATCAGAAGAATAAGGACTTACTAACATTGATAAGCGCAAACCACTGACAGAAGCTTGAAAAATGTGATGAGCTCAGAATGAGAAGAACAAGAATAAAGGATCAAGGAAAACAATAAAAGGCTTAGAATCTTACAACACTGACTTCATCGTTACCTAAATATTCAGATCACTGCAAATAGTCACCTTCAATGTCAGTGCCAAATTGTTCAATGATGATGTATATACTGGATAGTCTCAAACACTTCTGGGAAGAGAAACGTTGCACTAGGTTTCATTTCCAGATAGTGAGCATCAAGACTAAAAGATGATAGCTATGCTTGAAAAAAAAAAAATAATCTGCTTTTCCATACCTTATACTTAAGTAAAATAGTGCCCCATGTACACAGGATTTCCATTTGTTTTACCAATACACTCAATGCTTGTTTTTCATTAGAAAAAGGTAAGCTAAGTGAGAAGCCTTTAATTCTCTGATGCATCACAAGATATAAAAAATTGCACTTCCAAGGAAAGAAAACCAAAAATTTACCGTGCCTCGTTTTTATACTGCGAATAAGAGACCGTCCTGTAAGAGGTGCACACTTACATGTACCCTTCACGCCTTCCCCAGTTGTGCCTGTGCATGTTACTGCTTTGTGCCAAGAGTAAAAAGAAATTCAAATCTCTGAGCAGATTTAAAAGTATCTTTTTATATTCCAGCTATGTCTTCAGCTATAAAATACATAGCAAACAAGACTTCTTGGTGAAGCACATTACGTGCATGTGTGGCTGGGCCCTTTAAGGTAGCATGCTGTGTGCACAAGTCCTAATACAGACTTGGTATTGACTGATAGACACTTATTATATTTCTCACTTGGGTGTAGGCCAGACTGCAAACTCCAGGGATTTGCTGTGTGCAGCAATATGTGGCAGAGTGAGTCAGTTGTCCCACACAGGCAGTGAGAAGTAGATGCTTTCAGCAAGCAATTAACAGGACCTCTGTGAATATGTCCTGTTTGTGATGCTGCATGCAGAGCCTGCTAGAGCCAGATGCTACTGTGTGTCTGGAGAGGTGTTTTACTTCGTTTGTGGATTCACAGGGGTCCCTCCATACACCTTGAGTGTGGCGCTGGTTCCCCTGGAAACTGGTCACGAATGAGATTCCAACAGAATCTCCTTCTGCATAGCAAACTAATCTCAGAAACAAAAAAGAGAGATATTAACTTTTGGACTTGTAGGCATGCTTTTCAAAAAGTGTATTTGAAGAATTGCTAGACTCTCATACATAGAGTCATTCCCTTCTAAGGAAGACCAAAATTTTTACCTGCTGGCCTTCAGCAAGGTTGTTCATAGTTTTCCTCACAATCTTCCCAGTGGTTCAGGTAGATATAATTTATAGGATGGTCTCATTAGAAATATATAATGCAAGCAAAATAGAATTGTAACTTAAACTGTGAAACACATAATTGGTATTCAAATAGTGAATGGAAGATTTTTATAGACATATATATATATATTCATTTCAAAAATAACCTATGCATCTGCAGCGATGCTCTGAGGCAGGACTAATGGTAAAATGTACAGCATCTCCATAAGGGAGAACAGAGGTACTTTACTCTGCATGAGTTTTAAGGTATGTTGTTATCTTCTAGAGAATTAGAAAGTTTATTTCAAGACTTTACAAGCAAGATATATAAATGCCATCCATCTGCAAACAGTCAGCTTGTCCTGTGTTAGCTCAATTAACTCCTTTGACTTAACTGGATTTTTAAAATTGTAATAGTAAGGGAATTTTGGTCCATTAGATGAAATGCACCTTGTGATAATTTAACAACCCAGAGATCCTTTATGTTAATATGACTTGATTTTTTTTCAATAGAGAAAAGATTCCATCCTAGTTTAAATTCACGCTTTCTGTCAAATTGCGGAAATTATTTTTTTGTAAGTCCTCATAATTTGTGGTAGCCTCAAGGAATCAAAAAAAATAGCTCAGCTCAGAAAATTAAAATACCATGCAATGAATAGTGAAAGCTCCTTATCTTTATTGGTAATCTCTGTTGTAAAGTTTATATCTCTTATTATAATTACTAATTTGTATGGTGGAAGCATGTAGAAACTTTGGCTGACATCAGGAACCCATTGTAGTGGATGTTGTCTATACACAGTCACTGTTCTGAAACAGCCGCACTGGTTTCAAGAGATGCCTCCTGCAAAATGTTCTCTGCTGTGGAGGTTAAAGTTAACCTGTTTTCCGTTGATTTGAAACCCATCTGCTCCCTCTCAACTGAGGGAGCTCTAACACACAGAAGGAATTCAGAACATGTATTGGTGGCTGGATGAGAGGGCTTCATCTTGGCATCCTCTGTTGCTTTGCAGTCTTTTTAAGAGCACAGAGTATTTGCACAGTAAAACACAGTGGACACTTTGGTTTCATTGTTCCCTGTGTTGGTAATCTCTTTGCCTTGTATTTGTATTACAGAACCTCAGATTTCTCTGGATACTTGACATGTTAGTTTCAGGTGCTGCATTGTCCATGCTGATGGAAGAGGGTCTACATGATACAGGTGCAATAGCTTCTAGAGGAGTTTAAATACCTTTTACCTCCAAGTTCATGGACATGAACTTGTGTCATTTCCACATAGAGCTGAGGTTGTAGCAGTAGTGACACTTTTGACCATGATATTTGTGGCATGCACCAAACTGAGAGCTGAATTTCAGCTGTTATTACTCATCTATGAACAAAAGCTTATCTGTCTGAAAACAAACTTACTACATACTGCTACCAAGTGTTTACCATACTGCTCACGTTGGGGTTGGGTAAGCAACCTTTGAGGTTGCAGAAATCACAACACCCTCAGTGAAGGGCTCTGCTAAAAAAGTTACCTTTTGAATTAAGCAGGTGCCTCTTACTGGAATTGTAATTTTACCAGAAAAATTAGATAGCATCTTATATGTGCCTTTACATTAAAAAAAAAAAAATCTGTTTTATGTGTATGGTAATATTTCCCATTGACCATGTATGAGTTTGTCAAAAAGAAGGTGATATTATCCTCTAGAGGTCAAATCATGGCCCTGCTTCTAAGCAAAATATACCTCATTGAAAATCAAATATTTTCTGCCAGAATTACACATTACATTGTTCACATTGTTTACATATAAGTCTGTTAATATTCTTGCATTCTATCAAATAAAGCCTTATTGTTAGACAAGGTATTTGGGAATTTTTATATTAAACATCAGTGCTAGCAGAACTTACCTGCCACCATGTAAAACTACACCCTTGCATGTGTACTTGGATACAGCTAGTAATGGTTTGTCAGTACCCTGGACCATGCTGCTCTTTGTCCTATTATAGGGGTGTTTTTTTCCTTATTTTCTTGTGTTCCAGTGATGTTTACAGAATCATTCAGTCTATCTCAGTCATTTTCAATTACAGTGTGTGAGAGACCTGCAGTAATATTTATCATGGGGATTGTAAATCTGATGTATGGTACCTTTGATTTCTCTCTCTTCTCCGTAACTAAAGAAATGCAAAATGAATGGTTAGTTGCAGCACTCTGTTGTAAAATTAGAGTTAACTGGGTTTGTAGTGGGAAGTGCATTGTAACTGTTGACTGTAAATTTAAAGACATTGAGAAATATAAAATAAATAGGACATGTAATGGATCCTGTGGTTGTATGATTGAGCTTTTCAAAAAGCAGCAGTACTACAAGTTGCACAAGATTTTTCAGAATAAACCAACTTGTTGTAGTTATAAATATTACTGTGGTCATTGGAGAGTAAATCCAAGATTCAAAATCCAATACAAATACTTGCATATTCCTTTTCCTTAGTCTTTATCACTTGTGTGTGTATATGCCTTGTACAATTCTGCTTAACATAACTCAGTGACCAGAATGCATGGTTAATTTGAATTTGAGTTTCTGTGAGATTCTCTTGATTTCCTTTAGTTATGTTATGTTATGTATAGCACCCTGCATGCATTTTGTAACTTTTTTGCCTCACAGTAATTTCCTTGTCGTGGTGCTGAGAGGAGTAAGATGATTGATGCTCTGTTTTGAAAGCTCGAACAATTGCAACAGACTTTTTACTGAAGTGTATAATGAGCTTGTGTGTAACAGAAAGCTTGAGTGCTCTGTGTACCATTCCTACTGCAATGTGTCTGTTGTTACAACCCTGAATTGGTACCCACAGCCCTCAAAGTAATTTCCTTCTGGAATATCCTGTAAGGCAGCAGTGTTGCACAAACCACAGCACACTGACAAGACAGCCTTTGCCATCCACCTGTCAGTGCCAGTTAATCTTCATGGGAGATCAGGTGGATTGACACAGCAGTGCTCTTCTCTTAATTCAAACTAAGGAACAGTTCTTCATGAGAGGAAGAACTCAATACTTTATTGTATGGCATAGGTGATGCTAAAAATATACTGGTCCCTGAAGCAGGAAGATTTTAATTCAAAATGTAACCATAAATCAGCAAATTTATCTTAAACTTTTGTTTAAGCATCTGAAGTGCTGGGTACAGAAGAGTTTCCTTGTGAGCCCTTTTGAAGTAAGGGTTTCTGGCAGGTGTCTCCTATAAAAATGCCTTCATCCTTTCTCCTGCATAATAAAGGTACACTCTTAACTTGAAATAATAAGGAAAATATTTTACTGATAGCAACAAGTCCTCTGCTCTAAAGTTTCCAAGTAATAAAACTTTTTAAAAACCAAGGAAGAAGAAGCAGGGGTTGGGCATGGGTTGCAGCACTTGAGAAGGTGGAAGCCATTTAGATAAATTCAAAACTGTGGCCTGTGAAGAAAAAGGACTCAAGTATTCAAAATATGACTAGTAATCACATCTTGTTAATGATATACAGCTATTGGGTCAAAGTAAGCTTCAAACCCAAAATCTGCACAAGATCCAGAGATGCTTCACTCAGTGTGAGGGCAGCTGGGCAACACTGGCCAGCTGGTCTTCTCTCACATACAGGGGGTCATCTGATCATACAACTACCAGTTTAAACTCTGAAAAGAGCAAGTATAAGGATTTATGCAGAACAGAGAGGCTAAAATCTCCATTTGGCTCATTAGTAGAGGAATTTCAGGTAACCTAAAATCTTGGGGAAAGGTCCAGCTAGTGAACAAAGCAAGAGAGCCCTTTGACAGATGAAGTAACAGTTACCACTAGAAATGCTCATATTTTCCAGAAGGAATTTATAAACTTAAGAGCTGTCTCAGGGAAAAAAAAAAAAAAAAAACTCTGAAAAAGAGAACTGAGCATGTGCTTTCCCAATTATGTTTTTATATTTGTCTTGGTAATTTCGTGTCAACAAGATATACAGAAAATCACTGCCTAAAATAAGAGGGTGCTCTTATTTTCATATCTTTATTCTGTGTAGGTTATAGAGGACAGAAAGGGGAAAGAGGCGAGCCTGGAATTGGACTGCCTGGTAATCCTGGACCACCTGGCCCTGCAGGTACAAGTCTCCAGATCTGTTTCTGCTGTTGTTATTGATGAACTAACAGGCCTTTCTCCTGTTTTTAACGCTGGTTTTACACTCCTGCTTTTCCTCCTGAGCTGGATCGCAGCGTGAGGTCAGCCCCACCTGCCTCCTTGTGGATGTGCTGGAGTGCAGCTGATGAAATGCAGGGCACTGCCCATGCTCTGGTGAGGACTCTGCTAATTGTAGCTTTGTTTTACCAGCTGCTGGCCTGCCAGGCCCACCAGGAGCATCAGGCTCGCCGGGACCGCAGGGGCCGCCTGGACCCAACGGGAGGTGCAATCCGGCAGATTGCTACTACCACGTGTCACAGACTCGCTCACGCACCAGCAGGAAATAAAAACCCTCTCCCCCAGACACTTGGGTTCACGGTCACTTTTCACTCTTTCCAATAAGTTAATTTAATTTTTGAAATATTTGGTGCATTTTTTTTTCTTCTCTCGACACTGCATGGCATATAGATAATTTGTAAGGCACAAAATTGAGCCTTTTTCTATGTTATTTGCAGTGTCATAATGATGACATGATGTCATATATTTTCCAGAGTGCATTCCATGTGTCGTTTCTCATATTTATTTTGCTTAGAACAGAAAATAGGCCCAAATAATTTTCATAAACTTCATTCTTCAAACAAAAAATATCTTATTATAAATTAAGGCATTATATATGCCTCCATATGTAAGCTGGCTTTATTTTTCTTGCTGGTGGTGAATTTTAAATGGAAAAAAATACATTTCTGAAGTTACAAAGAGTACTCATTCATGGCAAACGCAGGACCTGAGCTGGAGCACTGGGAACTCCGTTTAGACTAAACATTGATGTCCCTCAAGGAGGCTCCAGCACACCTTCTGAAAAAAGGTCTGCTGTGCTCCAGGAATGCTGCCCACCATTTCACAGTCACATCCAAGATGGCAAAGAAGGAAACAAAGATGCATTTATGGTCTCCTTATCCCATCCAACGATGAGCTTCAGCCTGACTGGAAAATCATCAGGTGCAGCTCCAGGAAGTGTCTCTCCTGACTGGATTTTGTCCCAGCTGGGGGCTTGTATGTTCCCTTAGCCATGGTTACACCTACCCCAGATATTAAATGCAAGAGGCTGCTGACAGTGTTCTGGACTGAGAGCTGGCACACCTTCTAACCATTATGTGGACTGAGTAAGGGTACTAAGGCCTGGAATCAAGCTACTCTGCCATTAAGTTCTGCCTGCAGCAAAGGTGACCCCTTGCTTTAGAGCAGAGGCTGGTGAGTACATAGTCCAAGAATGGAACTTCACAAGCCTCTAATCTTGGTGATGGCACTGTTTTCCTCTTCCTCCTGCAATATTCACATGCTGAAATCATCTTGAGAAGAACATGGAATCTGTAGAGTGCACAACTCACGTGTCCTACTAACTGGTGACAGAGAATTTCTTGAGTTCAAGAGAAATTTGGAAAAAAATACAAAACCCTTCTAGAAAGGTGTACTACTGAGAGCAACAGCATCCAGTTTTCAGGCATTTAGTAAAGGCTGCAGGAACAGACAATGTAAATTATGAACAAAACAGAACAATGTTTAAGTCCTGTAGAGTTCAAAGGGTTGAGCAAAAGAAAAGCTGAAGAAAATTAATCACACAGATTATCTTGAAAAGGAGTGAGTAGGGGTGGCCAGAATTTCACTTCTGATTATCAGGAAACAGATGATCTTCAGTTAGTCCTGTGGAATTTTGTACAGTGCAATAGAAAGTGAAGGTGCTATTTAGAAAACACAGACATCTATACCCTACAACTTCAAAATGCACCTGTAGTACTAAGCCATATTGAGGGTTCTTATCCCATTGTTTGGAAGGCAGTCACTCTCCCACATCAGGCTAGTTTTGATAAGTTTGTGCTTAAGCAATACTGAGCTGCCAGGGAAATATTCTCAAACTGGATGTGCTGGCTTCCAGAGAAGCTGTTGTGATACATGAATCTGGCTGACTTCTGGGTTTTACTTAAAATCAGTTAAGGAATGACTGGTGGGAGTCTTTAGCAAAAGAAGCAAATTGGCATTTGTTCTGAATAGAGTTCCTAGCACTTGCACCCAGAGCAGAGGAGCAAGATGAGAGCAAGAGGTGACAGAATTAACTCAGGCAGCAGCTGGGGCACTCAAGACACTTTCTGAAAGGGAAATCACACATCCCTGACATGTTCATTGGTTAGGTGCTTGGAGGAGAGAAGGTGCTTGCTACAAAAGGATGTTAAAGGAAACACAGGGATGGAAGGCTGAGAGTAAACACCTGGAACAGGAGAGGGCAGCAGGAATGAGGACGGCAGAAAACCTGTGGTATACCATGAAACTACCTCCTGAAGGAGCTGCACTACACCCTGCAGCTGGGGACACCTTGGGGAGTCAGGGTGCTTTATCTATTGCTTGTGAGAATAGGGTCAAAAGCCCACAGGAGAACCCAGTCCTCCTCACTCCTCGGGGGGCAATGGCTATCCCTTCTGCAGACCAGCACATCCTCTGCTCTGCGGGCAGCGGGCGCCTGTCCCGCTGGGATGAAGCTGCATTTGGGACAAGTGGTCCTGCTGAGCTCAGCTCAACACAAGCTGTTCCCACTGCAGAACTGCTGTGCCATGGAGCGTGTTTTGGTTTGCTCTGTGGAACTGATCACCCTGCAGTGCTGGTCCTCAGAGCGCCGGGGCTGTGGGAGTGCTGGGAATGGGAGGCAGCTTGAGCCCGAGCACTGAGGCACCGACTGCTGCATGGGCCACGGAGAGCACAGCCTGGCACCAGCACATCTCGGTGTCTGAACATGGACACCAGAGGAGGAACAGCCCCACATACTGGTGTCCATTCTCTGAAAGGAACTGCTGGTCAGGTATCTTGCATAAACATTTTCTTTCTTTCTTTTTTTTTTTTTTTTTTTTTTTTTTTTTGTTACTTCTCTAGTTATTCCAATATATGTAATAATCTAAACATTTTTTACTTCATAAGTTAATTTTGAACTTCATTTTCTGTGATAATATTGAAAAGGGTGCTGTCTTGTGGTAGTACTTATGTGACTTAGAGGTTCCCAAGCAGCCCCATCCTGGAAGGCTGTACATAGACCATTGCACCGCATTGGTGGTATCTGTATATTTTGGGGCTTTTAGCTGAAACCCAGCATCTGTTATCTGCCAGATGCAATTGCTGTATTTTAAGTTACTTGAATTTATTGGGAAGCTGAACACTTTTTATATTTGAAGAAGTTTTATTTTTTCATCTATGTTTCCTACAGATGCCTTTTTCTTTTTATAGGCTCAAAGAGAAAGGTCTTTCTAAAATGTATTTGAATGCTTTCAGTTGATTTGCAGGTGACTTTGGTAATTATCTTGTTGCATTATTTTTATTTTGCTAAAAGCCCACTTTAATTTTCTCATATGAGAAAACGGGTATTTTTTTATATGAGCGATCTCATTACCTATTTTAAGATGACACATTCTTCACTAGGGTAGAACAGAGCTAATCCCAGCTTAACTTTACTTCACACTGGCTTGCTCCTAATTTGCATTTTTAGAATTGAAAGTGAAATGTAGCTGGAAACGTGTCTGCATGCTTTTCAGGCTTGGCCCCTGAAATTTCTTTGCAGTTTCAGACTGATGTTGTCTTAGTTTTTGGGCAGGAGGCCAGGAAGAGAAGAGGGGATGCTAATCTATTTTGCAATTTGCTTTATCAGTTTTGTATCTGTTTTGAGCAGTTCATGCTGCAGGAAGCACTGCAAGGAAATAAACACAAGCAATTTAATTTTTTTTTCCAGTAGCATGAGGTCTTTTATTCTGCTTTGGGTTTGTTTACATGCAACAAGACTCAGAAGTGAAATAACTTCGACAAAATGTTTTAAACCTTTTTTAAAAGCTCTTTAAGCTTTATCGTAGTTCAGGGTCAGACTTTTATATTTTATGGCAACTTGCTTTATCACCTATTAAAAATGTGTTGGCCAGGTGTACATTAGCAATGTACAGAACTACTCAGTTTGCCTAAAGAAAGTATAGTCACTTGCTAAGAGGGAAGCTTTCCTGAGTCTGCAGCAGACCTGCTGCTGTCCACATGGTGGAATGCAAACATCCTTTCAGTACAACGATTACAGCCCAGGCATAACTGGCCCAGCAGAACAAGAGCTGACCCAGCCATGTGTATTCTCACAGCACAATAGTCTGTGTTTCTGATTTTGTTCTTGAGACTTACTTATTTCTATTTTCTTTCTTCAAATCTCTTCAGTTTTGCATGGTGGTATTTGCAGAAATACTGCCTTTCTTGGATAATTATTGTAAGATAATATTGCTAAGATTTTATTTGTGTTTATTATTATATTGTGTTTTATGTATGTTAAAAAAGAATAAGTTTGTGGTGACATACCTCATTTTCAGGTATCTTTTATGTCCCCTGCAATGAAGTTTGTCTCCAGGGGAGGAGGGACTCACCTATGGTTGGTAAAAACTTAAACAGCATCTGGTGTACAATTGGGCAGCAGTGCAGCCTGGCAATGTTTTGGGAACCAATATTCTTACCTTAGGCTGGATCTGGTTTCAATGTTAAAAGAGCACTGGGACACAGAAACAGGATTGATTATCCATCCTTCTCTTACATTTTATGATTGTGGGTTATGACAGGTGTTAGAGATGTACAGCTTTGTTAAATAAGTGGGGGTTTTAATTAATGGATAATAGCACAAAATATTTTGGGTCTTCTTTTTCACAAGGGTGAAATGTTATTTTTCATGTCTATGTACACTCGTTTTTTATTCTCTTTCTTTTTCTAAAATGTTTATTTGAAAGTCTTGTAAAAAAAAACCCTGGCTAAATTAGCATTTTATAAACTTGTTTCTCCAAACAGACTACATAAAACCACTCCTTAATCTTACATTTTACCAATGCAGTAGAAATGCTGCTCTAATGTGAGATGTTAGAACAACAAAAGTTACTCAGAAATCAAAATATTGCTGGTTTGGGGTGTGTTTTTATTGAGTTTTTCATGGTTTCTGAATGTACCAAGTCACACATATTTTTCCTGAAATCTGATATGTCCACTACAATTCAATTGTACTGGGTGGATGTTTAAATCACCTCCATGCACATAGGTGGGTGTAGGCCATGGAGAACAAGTTTAACCCTGACCTTGTCATGGTTGGTATTTAAGTGGAAAATTCAAGTTTCAGGATACTGTAAAAAAACAGGGTTTTCAAATATTAATTGCTAACAAACATTACAGATTCTAGACCAAAATAAGTTTGTAGCTAAAAAGGTTGGAGTCTACATGTCTTTTAGCAGTTTTCTTTCTTAGTCTGCTATTTTATAAACACATATGCATTTAATTACTAACTTTAGTTTTAATGTAAATCTATTCTGTCTCCAGTCAGTGTTTGAAGGATTCTCAATGACACACCTTGGTATTTTGTATTCTTTCATTTCTGAATTATATGCAGCTGTCACTGAATGAATCACAGAACATGATGACTGGTTGCTTCCTTTTTTCCTTATACTTTTGGTTTGCAGCATTTAAGGTTCAGTTCAATGGAAACATATTAAGTGGATGAAAAATAACTTTTTACATTATTGTGTGGCCATGTACATCTTAAACAGGATGCTGGATGTAAATGGAAATATTTCACATACCTTCTGTTTGTGACTCTGTCAAAAATGTCAGCCTTTCCTTCTGTGTCAAATCACAAGAGGGAGGTTGCAACTGCAAACAGGAGAAAGGAGAGGCACAAAGCCACTGCAGTGAGCTCTGGGGAGAAGTCAGGGTAGGTTGGCTGAATTTGGGGGGATTGGGTTTTGACCCCAACTGATGTCAGGCTTGTGCTTCCTAAACCTGATGAAACTTAGAGCTCTACAATCTGGATTAGAAAACAAACAAACAAAACCACCTAAATGCAAAACCATAGTCTTAATATGTATATAATTTATGGAAATTCATACATTATCTGAATGCAGATAATCTTCCTGCCCAACTGGGAGATAATCACTTTTATTCAAGAAACTGATTCACTGAATTTTAGGGAACTGTAGGAATTTTCATTTTTCTCTTGCTGCCTAATTCTCCCTGGAGGAAAAACGCTGATAGCATTTTAAAGGACTATAGGTAATAATTTCACCACTAACTTTATTTTCTTTCTTCCAATTTCATAGTGACTTCAGAAATTTTATTTTGTTCATTGTCTGAAGCTGCCAGGTTTACTCATCCTTTTGAATGCACAGGCAGCAAGCAAAACAACAGGAACAACAAAAAATTGAAAGGAGGGAATAAAACTGAAGCTGTAGCAAATCACACAGGAGTAGCTTGCCCTACAAAAATATAGATATTTCTTCTCTACCTGTTACCCATGAGCAGAGGAGATGCAGCAACTGCATTTTTAAGTAAAAAGGAAGCAGAGGCTAAGTGGCCAAAAAAAATACAGTGATGAGCAGGTCAAGAAAGCACATTTCACACAATTATCTAATCAATTTAAAAATGTTTGCAAAAATGTAATGTTTGTATGTGGAGCACAACTGCTGTGTTCTACAAGGATGAGCTAACACTTGTCTGAAACAAAGTGTTTCTTGGGAAACCTGGTTTCTTGTTCCTTATGTTCTTCAAGTAACCTTCAAAATACTATCTGTTAACACTTTTCATAGTTGAAGGAAAACAAATTTTGTTGTAGATCTGTGCTTGGCTCTGGGTGATATTAGATCATGACTAAGGTATTGAAGGACACAAAATGTACTGTAATCCTCTTTAGCCTTGGTTTCATACATCATTTAGGAGCTTCAAATAGTGCTCTAGAGCTTCTTTAACTACAGAGAATTTTGCCTTTGTGAAACATTCAAGATTTTTTGGTAGCAGTTTATACTAACTTGCTTGAACCCAGTGATGGCTGAGGCAGAAAACTTATATATAAACTCATATATTAATTACATGTGTATATAATCTATAGATGTATAATACATCCATCTCTTAGCTCAATATTTGGCAGAAGTGTTATGAATTCTTGCTAATAGAGTGATGGTGAATGGTGTTGATGCAGCTGGCCTCTGGTCACTAGTGGAGGTCCCCAAGGCTCGGAACTGGAGTTGGTTCTGTTCAGTGTCTTTATCAGTGACCTCAGTGAGGGGATTGAGGGCACTCTCAGTGAATTGCAGACAACACCAAGCTGGGTGAGAGTGTTGATCTGCTGGAGGATAGGAAGGCTCTGTAAACTGGGGAGTCTGGACAGGCTAGACGGATGGATGATGAGGATTGCCCTAACCCATGCGTAGGACCTTGGCCTTGGCCTTGCTGACCTCCATGAAGTTCCCATGGACTCCCTTCTCAAGCCTATCCATGTCCCATCCCTTTCCTCCAGCACGTTGATCGCACCACACAGCTTGGTATTGTTGGCAAACTTGCTGAGGGTGCGCTTGATCCCATAGTCCATGGCACCAGCAAAGACATTTAACAGTGCCAGTCCCAATAGGGACCCTTGAGGAACTGTCTCCACTTGGACATTGAGTCAGTCACCTCAACTCTTTTAGTGTGGCCACCCAGGTCTGTCTGTCAAATCCATGTCTCTCCAGTTTACAGACAAGGATGTTGTGTAGGACAATGTCAAATTCTTTGATAGATAGATTATCATTCCCTCTTCCTTCCTCCATCACTACTATAACCCTGTCAGAAGGCCACCAAATTTGCTGGCAGTGCCAGGTTAATAGTCAGACTCGATGATCTTAAAGTTCTTGTACAACTGAAAAAAGTCTATAAACTGGTTAACATTACGATTTTCTCTGGGTTCCTGCATATACTGAAGTAACTGAAGAGCTAAAATATGTTTTTAGCACACTGCAGTTAAACCTCTAGAACTAGAAGTGGTGACAGAGATCATGGTGGGTAAAATATTCTCATTAGTCTTCTGTTCAAAAAATCTCACAGAATTTTATGATGCTAAACCTGAAGGAGATGAGAACAAAATTTACTTGGGATTTCACCAAGATTTCAGGAGCATCTGATTAAAACTGGTGGCACACTAACAGTGGCTTGTGAAACCTCTCAGTCTCTTTGCACTGTGTCTTCTAAATTTATTTTTAAATATTTTTTTCTGCATTACCATAATCAATTAATCTTTATTTTAAGTTCATAATCCTGTCTTTATTTTCCAAATTTTTATTTTACTTGAATGTGCTGTTACTAAAAATTCCACCTCTGGTATGTTATGATGCACAGTCTACCATTTGTCAAGTACCTCTTTTCCATTCTGGTGTAAGATTTGGAATTGAAAATTAGATTAACCTACGCATCCCATAAGGAATTACAATGGGCCTGAAGAGTTTTTCTTCAGTTTTTTAAGTTAAAACTTGTGAGTCAACTTGAAGGCAGAAAACCTGTCACAATCTTAAGATGTCCACTTTTAAAGATTATGCATTGAATTGACTCTCAATGTTGAATTTGTTTGATTGTAATAATTCTCGAGTTTTGCATATGAATATTTTTGCTCCTACATGAATTTCCTTCCATTGTGGAATTTTATGCATTTTACAGACTATATTTTCTAAAGCACTTCACAATTATATTTAAATGTGGGGGGGGGTTGCTTATTATAATTCATATGATTATGCATTACATACAGAAAACAATATTTTCATTCTGTTATCAGGTGAGATTTTTTTCTTTTCAGCAGTTTTACACACTTTATAGTCAAAATAAAAGTTTGCTGGTGAAACTACAGGGTTTTTTACTAGTGTTTTATTTGTTCCACTATCCAAGGAGTACTTTTGAGGACTCTGCCCCAAGCCAGTAAAAACTGACCTAATTCAAAAACTTTTGAAAACCCATTTATGTATTCCCAAGCCCCTCACCTTGTGTGGATTTGTTCAAGAATGAAATTCTTTGCACTTGCCAATTTTGGTGACTTCTTATAGTATCAATGTAGGAAATCAGGCTTGGTTTGAGGAAGGTTTAACTACTAATTTTTTCAATAATTCCTTTTGGAGCATACATTATACCATTATGCTTTTTCCTTTAGTGTTTAATCTTACATGTTACATGCAAAATGCAATGCTCCATGGATCTTGTTATTTCTCTCTGTTGTCACATGGCACTGAGTGTTTGGAACATGATAAGACAGTTAAGGGCTAGGAGAAAAATCAGTGCTTAAAACAAATGTGCCAAAGCTTGCATAGGAGAATTTGAATGGCTAAAAATTAAAAGAAAGAGAAACATCATAGGGCGGTTTCATTGTTTTCTTGAATAAAGAATAAAGTTCAGAGAGGTAAACTCAAACCACAAATAGCTTAATTTATATAGAGAGGAACAGAATACCCACATTGCACATTTTCCTCTAAAAACTAAGTATCTAAAAAGTAGGCAACTTGGGCCATCTAATGGCTGTCTTCTGGCTATTCTGGCAAGCAATACTGAATGCAACCATACATGTAAAAAAATTATTTTGAGGTTTGTAATCTTTTATAGGAAGCATATATATTTCTAGGACTTAAAATTCTGCTGACAGTGGCTACTAGCCTTTTATTTTAATGTCACATATAACAAGGCAAACTGCAACGGGCTTCATATGGAATTACGAATGCAACGCAACTTGGAGTCAAAAAACGAAGAGGTTATTCCACATGGGTTATTTATGGCAACCCTGTGATTGTACCTTTACAGATATTGGCAGCATAAACAGTGTCGGGGTGGTGGGTTTTCATAAGAACCTCTCACCTGGGTTTCTGTGATTGAATTGAAGAGCTGAAGGAGGTTTAGCATATTCTGGGCAAAACACACATGAAGTGACTGTGCATGAAGAGTATGTGCTAGAATTTATTTTATAAGTATGAAAGAATAGATACAGCTGCAGAAAATAAAATTATCCTTTTTTATTTGATGGCTGAAGACATTATTTCACTGTACATCATACATAGGAATTAAGTAGGGGAGGAGGAAAAGTCACAGAAACTCTTTATTAAACAAACTCAAAAATAAAAATAGACAAGTACCTTTTATTTCCCCCCAAAAGGAGAAGGCAGAAGGCAGCACCTGTGTATTTCTGTAAGCACCATTGTTCCAGCTGGTGTTGCTAAGCACTCCTTTTGGAAGAATGTAAAACCACTGTGTAAAAAATACCTTACTGAAACCTTGGTTGAAAGGTTTGTCCATGTCTGCATTTCTCCTTTTTTCGTGGTTTCGTGCTCAGCTGTCCGTGCAGGATGTAAATTGATGCCAACACACGGTTGCACTCTCAGGGCCCTTTCATGTTCTCTGCTCTCTGTCCCGCCTGCATCCTGCAGGACGCTGGCTCGCAGTATCCAGGAGGGCCAGGAGGGCCAGGGGGACCGGGAACCCCAGGCTGCCCGGCCACCCCAGGGGGACCTCGGTCACCGTCACGGCCCTCTCTGCCGTAGCTGGCTTTGCCTGGTTCACCTGGAAAGTGATGCAGGGCTAAATGTTGGCAGCATACGACTTGCATAGCATAATTAGCAGCCCGTCCTTAAAAGCTGCATGAAGATGGTTTTTCACTGCTCTCAGGGAATTCCCAAAAGGGGTGCCAATTTACAGGACAGTTTTCCTCTACCTGACACCCAATCTGCAATTACACAGCTGCAGCAATGAGATTTCAGTCCCAGTGCTCTCCAGGTGTACAGTACAGGTCTGCCACTGTACAAAGCTCTGCAGGGTATCTACTCAGCCAACCCTGCTGCCAGCACCTAGGGCAGGGTAGATGCTACTTGCTACCACAGAATTTCATTAGCTCTCTGGAAAAAGAAATACCTTTTTTTTTCCCCCACTCAGATGGAGGGGGAAATAGAGATTGGAACTGTAAAGATTGGAACTGCTGAGCATGAAAGAAATTTTTATTTCTTAGTCTTCAATGAAGGAAGGAAAACCAGAGATTTCAGGAAGACTCTTCCAGTGATAGATTTCTACAGTAAACATCTCTGAGTTACACAGACATCCTTGGGATCAGTAAACACTAAACGATTTTTTTCCTTTTTCACAAGAGAGCAAATATGAGTAGTTTGTCTTGCTAGATAAACATAGAAGTGTACTGTAGAAATACTGATGGAAATACCATGTTTATGTTCATTCGCTGGCCACTAGAGGCCAGCTGTGCTTCATCCATCAGCAGGAATCTCTCCTGGAGCCATGTTATATAACACTGCAATTAATTACCACAGAAATAAATAATATCCTAAATTATGGATGGAGATTTTGAAGACTGCTGTGCCTGCCAGTGATATAATCTGGAGGTTATGGCCTTTTTTGTTTAATTTGTATATATAATTATATGTGCATATAATATATATAAAAGACATATTGAAAGAGGCTACTTTTATTCATGTGTTTGTAACTTCTTCCATTTTTTATGCTTTCTTTAACATTTTTCTAATCCTTCTTCACTGATAAAAATGAGGAGCTGGCTTTTTGCTTTTTAGTTTTCAAGACTGATTTCTGAATAGCATCTATGAAGTAAAAATTACAAAGTACTGCAATTTCGGAGTTTATTGTTTCATGGACTCCTTTTATGTTTTCAAGGCAACTTAAAGTATCAGTTCTGAGTAAATTTTTAGTATATATCTTCTTTATCCTCACCCCCTTATATTTACCTGGAAGACCTCTTGGTCCAGGATGACCTTTCAGTCCTCTGCCTGGAAATCCTCTTTCTCCTCTTTCTCCTGGTTCACCTAAAGAAAATTCATGAAACATTAGTAACAGTCTGCCTGGAGTATCATTTTTAGTAAATTCCTTTTCAGAAGTGAACAGTTAATAAACAGAGAAATCAGCTGGTTGTATATATTCTTAGCATCTTTCAATGATGCCCAGACACATATCTGTGTAAAATGTTTAGGATTTGATTGTGGTTTTTTACCCATTTGAGTCACACTCAGAAGCAGACTGGGGGGAAAGAAACCACCTGCAGCTCAACAGTAAGTACCACATGAAATATGTCACAGCCCATATAACAGGAATAGACCAAAGTCCCAGGATTTCAGGATATTTGGGATGCAGACTGAGGCTACTGACTTCTGCAAAACTGTACAAGCTTAGTTAAGAAGTAAAAATTCTCAAGTGTTGGTCCTTGAGACAGCCAGTGCAGAGGAGAAAAAAGGTGGCTACACAGATGACAGTATTCTCTTGATACTCACATAAGGCTAAGTTTTGCCTTCACAAAATACTTTTTTTTCTCATATAATAATGTCATGGAGACTTTCCTTCAGTACACACCGAGAGTTTCTTCAAGCCCATATCTTGCTCCAAATCTGAATCATCTTAGTAAGAGGAAGGTTTTTTGTTGTTTAGCTTGTATAGTTCAAATTCTGTTCACTGTTATCTATGAATCTATCTGAACTATCAGGAACTCAGAGTGAAGCACTGAGAGTTTTCAGGTTGGCTGCCACGTACCATTATTATAGCTCTTACACATAGAGCATTCACCACTTCCCATGTATCTGTAAGGTTTACTCTAAGGTAACTCAGAATTTGATGACAGCTATGATAGCTTTTTGTTAGTTATGATAAGGATTTTACTTTTTTTTTGTTTGTTTTGGGGGGGAGGTTAATGCTCTGTTTATTTTTTTTCTTTTAATAGTAACACCATGTAGCCTGCTGTGTGTTGAATCAAATTTTGGATATCCCATACACTTTTTTATTTCTCTTTTTTTTTCCTTCTGCAACTGACATTACATTGAATTAAAACAGCAACAAAGCTCCAGCAACAATGCTCTTAAGTTTTGCTTTGTTTGTATTCTGTTCCTTCTCTCAAAGATTTTCCAAATTTCACTTTCAAATAAAACTTGAATCAAAAGTAAACACCCTACTCCAGCAACAGACCAGGTTTTTGCAGAAAGATAATTTTTAAATAAGTCCTTTTTGGAAAACAAATCAAAACCACTGCTGAATAGAAACTAATATATAAATGGCTGTCATAAGACTTTGCAGAAAATTCTACCCTGTAATTCTTTGGAGGAGAACAGAACTCTCGGTGATAAGCAGAGATTTACTTAGATCAAAGATTTTGTATAAAATGTAAGTCAATTTTATTATGGATTTGTCCTTTCCAAAGAATCAATAAGACTCTGGCACCTTGTGAAATGATGTTAAATGGCTTAAGTATTATATGCAAATAAAAAGGTAAATCATTATCAGTCCTTTGTAATGTGAGCAACTCAGTGTGCTCAGAAAAGTAGACTAGATTTTAGTGAAGTAATGACTGCTTACATCAGCTCTTGGGGCCATAAATCTTGCAAAAGTTAGGTCAACAGCCAGGCTGAATGGAGCACAGAGAGCCACCGCTGGAATCACATGTGGTGTTTGTCATCAAATGACTTCTACAATGTGAGAAAGGACAGGCATCTGCCCTGAACTAGAAGGAAGCAGCTGAGTCAGAGTCCTAATATTGATTCTCACTCTCAAGGACTTTTGAGGGTTTGTGGGTTTTCATGTGCTAAAAAGCACATTTCTAAACGAGGCTTGCTGAAGGTAGGCCAATGAGCCCTTTAATCACTGTGGTGACTGACATAACAGTTACAGCAAACAGTTTACATTCCTAACTCAGGATCCATTTTGGAGTCCACATGTGTACAGCATACATCCCCAACCTATAGACCAAGGAAGGGGGCAACAACAACAGCAAGACCTAAACAAACAAAAAAAACCCAAACAAACCCTGAAAAACCAAAACTGAGGCAGTCACCAAGTGAAAGCCAGTTAGAGAACTTCTTACCTTTA